GCACCAGGATCTGGTTCAGAGTCAGGCAAATCTCTGAGTTTGAGGTAGCTTGGTCCACAGGCTCAGTTCCAGGACAGCCCAGACTACACAGAGAAACCCTGTTTTGAAAAACAAAACAAACAAATAGACAAACAATAGTCTCACTGGGAATGCTTGACTAAGAACAGGCAACTTTTCTGACACAATAGTTGCCTGCTGCTTTAGAGTAATCTGCTACCCCTCCCTACTTTTGTATGCTTCTTTAATTTAGTTAGCAACAGTGCATGGCAGTAGATGTGTGTCCATCTGCCTACACTTGCCTCTCCATGAGTTGGATTGCTCATCATTCTATATCTAACAAGTAAGAGTATCTAGCTCTCAGTAAATCCTCATCATTGTTAATCATGACTGCAGAAAAACACATACTGTTAGTATTCCGGCATCTGTACTGGCCTGCTCTTGGAGTTCTGACAGGATACGTGCTCTTACCTTCAGCCACTAAGAGCATCACCTATGCCTATTCACTATGTTCCCTTTTAAAAGAGCCCTGCCTACCTCCCATCCTTCTCTTTCTTTCCATCTGTCCGTTTCTCTCTGTGTGTGTCTCTCTCTCTGCCTTTCCTTTCTCTCGCCAGCTGCTCTGTACCTGGAGGCCAGTCTCCCCACTCCCCTTTTCCTTAATTACAATTCCCTCCTCTTGAACTCTGTCACATGGAGTCTTTCTCTTGAGCTGCTTTTTAAAAATTACAACACTGACTAGTACTAGGTTTATAAACATGAGTAAGCCCCGAGCCTTTAATCCAGCAGAACTGTGGTGGTAATGCACTAAGACTATACACTCAGCTACCCACAACCATCTTGACTTTTTACTCGTGCTCTGAATTAGATTTTCTTCCTTTTGTTTCCTTTACTAGTTAATTTATTATTATATGTATGTATGGTGTGTGTGCGTGCGTGCGGGCATGCGTGAGTGCTGTGAGAGTTGAATTCCAGTCTTCACACTTATGGCAAGTTCTCTATTAACTGAGGCATCTCCCAAGCCCAAGATTTTCTGTTGTTCTAAAGATAAGGCAGAGTAGAAAAAGCAGTAGAGGGACAAAGGTTAATGATATTTCTTTCTCTTTTAATAACACAATGCTGTTATCACTCTAAATATATGAAGCAATGCTTAAAAATATTATTGTACCAAATGCAGAGCCAAAAATTACTGAACATGTTGTTCTACTATAAATTTGATAACATTTATTACCCATGTATGTAAGTGTGTAAGTCCCACATCACACATGGCTAGAGATGGTCAGAGGACAGCCTGAAACAGTCAGGGAATCTAAATCAGTGTGATCAGGCTTAATGGCAAGTGGCTTTACCTGCTGAACCATATTGCTAGCTTTTAGATTTTTGTTTTGTAAATTATTATTGTGTGGACACACATATGTGGAGGCCACAGGACAACTTTGAGAAGTTGGCTCACTTCTTACACCTTCACATCTCTTTTGGGGGATTGAATTCAGGACCTTTACCCACTAAGCCATTTCACTGATATATGAAGATATAGATGTATCTACTAGCATATACATATACACATCTGTAGCATGTATGTATATGCTAATGGTAGTTAATCCTTAAAAACAATCAGGCTTGAAACTGCCATAAATCTCTAGTTAAAATTCTCAGGTACAAAAAAAAAAAAATTCTCAGGTACTAAAGCATTTATCACCATCTTATTTAAGGTAAACACACCTTTCATTATCTTTAAAAGAAGCATAGTTTCAAAGATTAACACATAAGAAAAAAACAATTCTTTTAATGGAAAGAATTACATTATAACAAGAACACTGTACATTAAGTTACAATATGTACACACATTTAAAAAACTCTTTACAAACCTGGTATAAAGTAAACCCTGCCTCATACCCACATGATTAAGTACACAGTCTGACAGTATATAAAGGAGATGAAACACTGCTTTGGGGCCTCAAAATGTAAAACTTCAATGCAGGACCAGACCCCGAAGCTTATGTTTCCTATCACTCCTGTGGTGGTTAGGAAACATTTACTTTGTGTAAGATGTTAAAGATTTTTAAATGCTATAGCTGCTCACATAGAAAATGGCTACTGAGGGCAGTCTGTTGTGGCTCTCTTTATCTGTAATTTACTGCTGCATATACAAAGTTTACTTACAAGTTTGGAACATGAAAACTACAAAGAAACAAGTCAACCTGTGATTATGAATATCTAACTGCTTATTTTAAATGTCCAGCCTACTACTGCAGATATGACATCATGTAATATATGAACCAAAAAAAGGTTGTTGAGAGAATTCCAAATATAGATACTGATCTTTTTATACACTTGTTTTTAAGATTTGGTACATTTACAAAGAATTACACATTTAAATATATAAACATAGTTTTCAGAAACTGATGGTAAGCACCTTTACTGTCACAGCACTGACATGTGACAACACATGTGTTTAGAAAACAAATGAATTTTTAAACTCATTTTAGACACCATTTTTAAATAACTACTTATTTAAATACACAAAAATATTAATAGTTTCAATTTCTACCTAAAAAACAAGAACATACAATTAGGTATTTAAGTGTTTGGGTTTTTTTTGTTGTTGTTGTTGTGGGAAGAATATATGTAACTTTCTGTCCTCATGATAAAAAAAATATTAACAGAAGACCCATTCATACAAAATGAAGTGACAGAAATACATATTCTTTTTTTCTTTCTTTTTCTTTTTCTTTTCTTTCTTTTTTTTTTTTTTTTAAGACAGGGTCTCACTTTGTAGCTGTCCTGAAACTCTATATGTAGACCAAGCTGGCCTTTGTGCACCACTACTAGGATGAAGTGACAGAAACACACACACACACACACACACACACACACACACACACAGAGCTGTTGTTGTTTTCAAGACAGGGGTCCCCTGTGTAACAGCCCTGGCTGTCCTGTGACTCACTATGTGACCCAGGCTGGCCTTGAGCTCACAGAGATCCACCTACCTCTGCTTCTGAGTGCTGAGATTAAAGGTGTGAGCCATCACTGCCAGGCTTAGAAATATATTTTAACTATTTGTTCCTGATTACATATTAGTCACTGAATCCTCCGCTATTTCTCATCCTCACGGGAAACTGGCTAGTTTATTTTTTAACAAGCATTTCTCCTTAGCAATTCACCATCAAAAAGGAATGTCTCCCAAAGCATACTGCTCAATGAATGAAATATGTAATAATAAACCTTAATCATTATTGGAAGGTAAAAACCTATTAATTTTTGAAAAACAGTGTTTTGAAAAACAAGGATAACAAAAGAGTATTACCTATAATACAATTTAAATACAAACTAATTTGATCTCATTCCTCTTACATACACACAGACTAAGGTTTTGAAGCTGAACTTAGTGTAACATGTTCAGATTTAGCTGCCTGCCTCAATTCTTAAGAAAGGACAAGCAGTTCTTACTAACAACTATCCATGTAATTAGATACAAAATTTGCATTGAATAATATAAATAATAAACTTTACATTGACTAGTATATAGATGTAGAAATGATGAGTTTTAGATTCTCGCCTATTTCTAAAATAACAGTATTTTATACTTAGATACAGATCATGGACCTAAAACAAAGTAAGAATGGGAGATTGCACTTAGAAAAGTTCATGCTTTAATATTTAATATCGACTTTAAATCTTATTTTTTAAAAAATTAAAATTCAAATACACTCATAAATGAGTCTCCAGAAAAAAATTTCTAGGTGATTCCTTCTTTCTTAGTAGGGTGTTGCTATGTAGCCCAGGCTAGACCTGAATTTATAATTCACTGTCTCCATCTCCTGAGTACTGGAATTATAAGTGTGTACCATTATATTTAGCTAGGTTAATTTCATTACAGTTATATTTGAAATTTCTAACTATTTGAGCTTCAATTTTTTTTAAAAAAAGCTTATAATGAATGTACTGATTACTAGTTATTTGGGACTAGGTATATAAATATAGTTATTTAATGAGCCAAATATCAGATTACACATTTTCAAGTTTCAAATACAAACTAAATTTTAAACTATATATATGTATACTTACCTTGAAATATATAAATTGCAATAGTATCAATTCAATAAGACCTCTAGTATAGAAAAATGTAAATATTATTTAAATTATTTTCTAGCCAAAAAGTGAATCTTTAAAAAACAACAAAAATTTTGCATGACCAAGTTCCCCCAAATGATCTGTAAACAGTAGGGAATTATAACATTTTCCCCATTTTCTGAATTTTTCATCTTTCTATTCCTAAACTGGGATTTACCTCTAATCCCACATAAAATACATTTATTTGTGTCATTTATCTGATTAATTCAACTTAATACTTTCCAAGTCACTGAAATTTCTGACAGATGACCACCAGTACCATTCATTTATGGTTAAAGGTATACAGCCTAGAGAATAAACTACAGATGCAGTGTCTAGGCATGGGAATGGCAGATCTGAGCTACTATGTGAATCTATAGGATGTGATTGGAGACTCAGTGCTATCATGTGAATCTATAGGGATGTGATTGGAGGCTTGGTGTTACCATATAAATCTATTGCTTTATCTTTCCAAATACGAAAGATGACAAATATTCTCTCACCTGTTAGCTGATCAAAACTCTCCTCACAATTCTAAATTTTCTAACACACTTATACATGCACTCACACACTGCTTTTTTTGTTGGTCTTTTTTTGGGGGAAGGGCAGGTTTCAAGACAGGGTTTCTCTGTGTAGCTCTGGCTGGCCTGGAACTAGCTCTGTAGACCAGGCTGGCTTCAAACTCACAGAGATCCACCTGCCTCTGCCTCCCCAGTGCTAGGATTAAAGGCGTGCACCACCACTGCAAAAGGCTTAATTTGGCCTTTTCTGTCTATTAAGAACCAACATTGGGTATTTCTGGAGATAAGATAACTATTTGTGAAGTTCAGATGATCTTTTGAAACACTTGTGTTACTGGATAATTAAAAAAAAATAGGAATACAAAATAAAGTAAAATATTTCTTAAGGAAAATACAAATATGGAATTGACAACAAATATTCAAGTTTTAAGTCAAAGCTGCCCATCATTCAGTTCCAGTCCAGTGATTGACCAGTGACACACCCTGGCAATCTTCACCTTCTAAGACATCAGAAGGGACCAGAGTTGTAAATTTTGAAAAGCTTTAAAAATTTTATGTAGCAGATACATTTTTACAGTCCAGAAAAGTTTTTGCTCCTATAGACAGTGTTGCTTCTTTGGGTTCTTGTTTAACTTGATTCACAGACAGAGTATCTTCTAGACTTTCTTCAACTTTAAAACCAAACAAAAACTCAAAAGGGTTAGTATATTTTATGACATTTAAAATTATGCAAATTTAAAGCCAGGCATAATGGCGTATACCTGTAATCCCACACTGGGCCATTGAAGGCAGAGGGTCAGGAATTCAAGGTCATTTTTAGTAACACAGACAATTTAAGGCCAGCCTGAGACTTTAGCTTTAAAAATAATAACAGTCTGAATTTAGAATAAACTCAAACGTATGATGGTTTAGAAAAGGGTCATGGTAAAATTGAGAAAAAATATTTAGCATATTTGAAAACACAGTGGCACATCTTAAAACGGTGGCTCTGCCTCAACTGTGAGCTGTGTTTGGTGATCTAAAACACTTCAGAATACCTATGCATGCGCCATTGTGCTTAGAGCTACATGGATGCAGAGCAGCACACCAGGAGCAACACTGTCAACTGGCCAATGAAATGTCTAGCATCTTCATATTTTAGTTTGCTTTGTTTTTGAGACAGGGTTTCATTACGTAGACCATGCTGGCCTTGAACATAGAGATCAAGTGCTGGGACTAAAGGCATGTACCACAATACCTGGCCTCCAATCTTCATCGTACTTTATCAAGAATCTCTGATATTCAGTTGCTTTTAAAAAGCAGAGCTAGAGACGGTGACTTGTTTAGTGATGTACTGAACCCATCATTATTTTTACAGGTATACTCGACTATCCTGGAGTTGAGTCAGTGACATGGGGACCCACAGAAGACAGATTTGAATGATTCTAAGAGCTCACATCCTATTGGAATACATTGCTGACTGGTCAGAGGTTGAAGTCTGTTATGGCATGGGAGCTTATCTCAATAGCTCAGTAACATGGAGCTCCCTCCCTCAAACAAGGCTTCCTGCTCTCTACCTGCCCTTATCTGGAGAATGACCCTGGGCCTGACCTTATCTAAAAGCTGTCTCTAAAACCAGATGCCTGATTCATCTTTAGCTTGACCCTAGGCACAGATCCCTGCTAAGAAGACTTTTGCTAGGTGATGGGGGAGGTCCTTCTGTATTCTGTGAATATGTTTTTGGTTTAATAAAATGCTGATTGGCCAATAGCCAGGCAGGAAGTATTAGCAGGGCTACCAGACTAGAATTCTTGGAAGAGAAAGGCAGAGAGGAGCTACCAGAGAGATGCCATATAGCTACCGGGAAGTTAGGACACCGGGCATTTTTTGGTAAGATAAGGCCATGTGAAAATACCTATGGGTTAATAATTAAGCTCGAACTAGCCAATAGGAAGCCAAACAGTTTGTGATTAACATAAGCCTCTGTGTGTTTATTTGGGACTGGATGGCTGCAGGACCAGGCAGAACAGAACCTGTGTCTACAGCTAGGAGCTCTGTTTATAGGAACCTACTGCCGCATACAAAGCCTTATGATAGAAGCATGTCACTTAATGCAAATTAGGATTTATCTCCAGGCTCTCCACTCCTATATATTCCTTATACTCTGGAGTAAAGTTGAGCTAATTCACTAAAATCTGTCTCCCAGAGGCTTCCCCACAACGATGTTCACTGGCCACCAGAGCTTTCTGTCACCCCTTCTGCTTCTTTCCCCTCTCGACCTGGTGACAAACAGGCCCCTCAGATTATGACCACACTAGATAAAAGATCCAAAGTGTTTCTTTGGAAGCAATTTGAATTAACGCTCCCAGACAACACAGTGGGAGAAAGCATGTGTTAGAAGGCAAGAAATACAATACCTGGGCTTAGTTCCCTCTTCTATCACTTTCTAAACATGAGCACGAGGAAAATGCTTAAACTCCCTGAACTTTGGTTTCTCTATGTGTAGAATGGGAATATAGCTAGTTTTCTCATGGCAATAAACTTAATATATTCATTTTTTTCTCCTCACCTATAACATCACTCTGTAGTTACAAAAGTTCTCTCACTAGGCAGTGGGGAACAGCACTCAGGAGGCAGAGGCAGGTACATCTCTGTGAGTTTGAGGCCAGCCTGGTCTACAGTCTACAGAGCAAATTCTAGGACAGCTGGGACTGTTATATAGAGAAACCTTATCTTGGAAAACCAAAAATAAAATGAAAAGAAAAGAAAAACAAATAAAATTATGGTGCTAGGGAGATGGCTCAGAGGTTAAAAGAACTTGCTCTTGTAGAGGAACTGGGTTCAGTTTCCAGGACCCACATGGTGATTTACAACCATCTTTAACTCCAGTTCTAGGAGATCCAATACCCTCCTCTGCCCTCCCTGGGCACCAGGAACAATGTGGTGCACATACATACACACAGATAAATAAATAAATCTTGCCAGGGATGATGGTGCACATGCGTTCAAGGACAGTCTGGTCTACAAAGCGAGTTCCAAGACAGCCAGAGCTACAAAGTGAGATCCTGTCTCAAAAACAAATGAAATAAAAAATACTAAAAATGAATAATTTTCCTCATGCTCTTTGCTTCATTTCATGTCTGCACTGGGGACTGAACCCAGTTCTTAGGACATGGTAGGCAGTAAAGTACTCTACCATCCCAGCCCTCTTTTTGTTTTGAGATAGGTAGGATTTTGCTAAATTGCTCAGGCTGGTATAGAACTTGTTTGTAGCCCAGGCTGTCATTAAATGTGCAACCCTTCTGCCTAAGTCTTCTAACTGCTGGCATAAACAATAAATGATGTCATATGTCATTGTGATTAAATAACTAGATATAATAATAAAGAATATTTGGTTAATGAAATCTGTTTTCCTCTCATAATAATTTTTTAGTTTTTTTACGTGCATTGATGCTTTACCTGCATGTATGTCTTTGTAAGGGTGTCAGATCTTGGAATCACACACAGTTGTCAGCTGCCATGTGGGTGCTGGGATTTGAACCCAGGTCCTTTGGAAGAGCAGCCAGTGCTCTCATAATTTTGTTTGAACTTTACAATATTATAAACCCAACAGTAGAAATTACAGCCTTTTCTGTTGTTTGATGTAGTGATGGCAAGCTATAAAAGGTTAAAAAGAATCGCAAATTGATGGTCACTTACTAAGAGTTGGATGGCTGTCTATGATTTGTATTGGAACGGTTTGCACATCTCCCAACAGAATCCTATTTACATTTCCTTCCAGATTTCCTGTATCCTCAACATCTTCAACGTCCACCAGCTGATTCATTACAACGAGATTTTGAACTGATTCTGGGAGACTTCCCATGGTAGCAGCACTGTTATTTTGTGTAGGGCATGTATCTGCTGGAAGGCTGTGACTCTGACCATGCAATAGAGAATGACTATTCACCACAATATTTCCAGCTGTATCCACAAATCTTGAAGGACTGGAAGATGGATGGCTGTTTTCTGACATCCGAGCTTGGGATCCATCAGGAGGGGAGAGTCTTGGCTGCAACTTTAGACCCTTCCAAAGAGAAAAGAGTTATATCACAAAGTTTGGATTAGATTTACTATGTGTGACATTCTTGTAGGATGTTCTTTTGACAAAAAAAAAAAAAAAAGGAACACACAAGGTAATAGGTATGTAATTACTAACAAATTATTCCATGGGGATGGAAACAAGGACCAAGGAAAAGCAGTACAACAAACCTTTATAACTTTTCAAAACACATTGCCTGAATTATCTATCCTCTTAAATCAAGACACAAAGTGCTGTGGAATAATCCTTTTTTACACTGTGAAGATTTGTCACTCAGATTGGTTTAATAAAAAGCTGATTGGCTGGTAGCCAGGCCTAAAGTATAGGCAGGAAAACCAAACTAAGCACACTGGGAAGAAAGTGCAAAGTCAAGAGAGAGAGAGACACTACCCATATGAAGAGTAAGCAAGAAATGGCAAAGTGGTAAACGCCACAAGCATCGAGGCAGCACATATGCACTGTAATAGTTAGTTACTAATAAGCCTGAACTATTGGCCAAGCATTTATAATTAATATTAAGTCTCTGTGTTGATTATTTGGGACCTGGCAGGCAGAAAAGAAACTTCTGCCTACAACAATAAAGAAATATATAGTCATTATTGTAATTTCACAGCAGTTCTCTGAAATCCTAACAAAAGGAACCCTGGAAGAGGAGGGTCCCCAGATTTAATTGTTTAATGGGTGCCCACCTGTGAGTGTGAGAAGATTTTGGGCTGAAATGAAGAAAGTGGGGAGAGCAAGTGAAATGGCTCTGGAGACAAAGAAGGCCGTGTCCGACTTGCCCCCACCTTGCTGGTAACTGGTTCTCCTAGTGAATTTCCTAAATTGAATAGGAGACAGACACAGTTATTTCTCTTGAACTTTATAACAATCATTATTATAAGAATCAGAATAGAAGACAAGACAAAGTCAAAGGTTTACAAAGGACTTTAAAAAAATCACTAGTAAGCTAGGCAAGGTGGTAAATGCATATAACCTCTTAATTCTCACACAGGAGGACAAGTAGTAAAAGGTAATTCTTGCCTATAGAACTGAGCTTGAAGACAGCCTGGGCTACTTGATGCCCTGTTTGAAAACAAACAGACAGACAAACAAACAGAACTATCACAAATCGACAAATCAGCACATAACAAGCATGGTGGCACACGGGGGGCAGAGGCAGGAGGCTCTCTGTGAATCTGAGGCCAGCCTGGTCTAGAGAGTGAGTTCCAGGACAGCCAGGGCTACACAGTGAGACCCTACCTCAACAATCATCAATCAATCAGTCAATCAATTTGTAACTCCAAACTAGCCTGGCATGGTGCCTCATGCTTGTAATCCTAGCACGTTTGAGGCTTTCAGAGGGAAACTATCATGAGGCCAGGTAAAATACTCCAGAGCAGCCTGGGAACAGAGTGAGACCCTGTTTCAAAGCAACAACAAAGAAGCAAAAGCCAAAATACACACAGAAACATAGACACACAGCCACAAACCAATCATTAGACCAGGTACCTAGCTCACTGTTTCGAGAACCTGTCAGGTCATCAGAACTTCCCAGGGAACTCTAAAAATATGAATTTCTAGATTCACCCTCCATTATCTCCTCCTTCCTTCCCTCCATCCCTTTCTGTTCTGGTTAGTTGTTTGTTTGTTTGTCAACTTGTCATGAACTAGAGTTATCTGGAAAGAGGGCACCTCAATTTAACAAATGCCTCCATAAGACTGGCCTGTAGGAATATCTGTGGAACATTTTCCGAATTAGTGGTTGATGTGGGAAGGCCCCGCCCTTCCTTGTCACCACTGTGGCCAGCGGTCCGAAGTTGTATAAAAAGGCAAGGTGAACAAACAAGCTACAAAGAGCAAACCAGGGTCCTCCATGGTCTGAGCTTCACTTCCTGCCCTCACTTCCATCAGTGATGGGTTACCACCTAGGAGCTGGGGTTGTAAGATAAAATAAACCCTCTATTCCTCATGATGTTTATTCCCCTCCACCCCCGTACCTCCCTCCTCTCCTGTTTCTGTGACATCCAGGGCCTGTGCATGTTAGGTCAGCACTCTGAACTGAGTTATAATCCACTCCTTAAAATTTCAATGAGTATTTCTGTTGTTGTTATTGTTTTTGGTTTTTTTTGTTGTGGTTGTTTTTTGTTTTGTTTTGTTTTTGTTTTTGAGACAGGGTTTCTCTGTATTAGCCTGTTCTGGAACTTGCTCTGTAGACCAGACTGGACTCAAACTCATAGAGATCCACCTCCCTCTGCCTCTCAAGTGCTTGGATTAAAGGTGTGCACCACCAACGCCCAGCTAATTTCCATGTATTTTATTCAGGTTCCTAGTCAGGCTTAGCAGCAAATGTCTTTACTGGTTGAGTTGTCTCATCAACTCAATTTTTTTTTAATTCAACAGACCTACAATGAGGTCTAGTGATATTTTCCCCTGGTCCATTCCCTGTGCCATACAACTAAACTACACCTAAACTTCTCTAGATACGTGAAAGCTCTGGAGCTTCTAATTACCTTCATAGGTCATACAACAACTCCAACTCTTTTTACCTCCTATATCTATTTCATTAATAAACTATTAAATGTGTCTAATTTTAGAATGTATGCCATCAACTTCAAACTACTGCCATCTTTTTCACTGACACAGCAAAACAGATGTGTTTTTATTTTATTAATCCAATTGTAAAAAATTATTTTGTTGGTGGCACACGCCTTTAATCCCAGCACTTGGGAGGTAAAGGCAGGCAGATCTCTCTGAGTTCGAGGCCAGCCTGGTCTACAAGGCAAGTTTCAGGACAGGCTCCAAAGCTTCAGAGAAAACCTGTCTCAAAAAACAAAACAAAACAAAACAAAAAAATTATTTCCTTTACATTTTCAAATTACATCATTTCTTCTTTCCCTTTCCTCCATCCAAACACATGTATGCCTCCTTGCTCCCTTTCAAATTCATGGCCTCTTTTTTTTCATTAGTTGTTGCTAAAACATGTAAAAACATATATGTACATAACAAAGAATAATCCAGTTTTAATTCCAAATATTCTCTATACTAAATCTGTATTAGCCTGTGTCCCACCCTCATCTACCAAGGCCTCAGTGACCAGGCAGCAGCACCCTCCATGACCCCCCCATCTCACGCTGCATCAATGATCACCTTCGGAGCCATAGGCTCTACCTGAACCAATTGAAGGAAGGGATGGATAGACCTCAGTGTAAGAATACATTCAACAACATAAAGAGCAATATGGCAGCACCAGAAACTAGTGATTCTACAACAGCAAGAGCTGAACATCCCAATGCAGATGAAGCAGAAGAAAACAACCCAAAAAATAACTTTACAAAGATGACAGTGAAAGGATGGAAAATACAGCCTAACTCTCCAATGACCACAGGAAGCTACAAGTTTAGAAATACTATCTAAAAAGCCCTAAAAACCTCAAATTCCAGATCCTGTCCTCTGCCAGTAAATGGGCCAGGTCACACTCCTAGCTGTTTACAACAGACAGGCCCTTGAGTACATAATCTTGGCCTAGTAAAATAACAGAAAATGAACTAAGAGCTTATCTGACTTTGTAAACTGCTTGTGAAACCCCCGCCCCAGTGACCTATGTGTGGGCTTTGTTGTAAACCCTATAAAAACTGTCTCAATTCTGCCCTCGGGGGCCTCAGTCCGATGACTGTGAACCCCAGTGCACTTGGAATAAAAATTCCTCATGCTATTTGCATTGAGACCACTTCTTGTGAGTGATTTGGGGTGTTACCTTTCCTGCATGGGAGCGTGAAGGTCCACGCTCTGCGGGTCTTACATTAGAGGCCCTTAAAGAGGAAATGAAAAATTCTCTTAAGGAAATGGAGGGAAAGGCAAACAAAACATTGGGAGAGATCAATAAATCCCCTAAAGAAAGCCAAGAAAAACAATCAAACAAGTGAAGGAAACTGTCTAAGACTTGAAAATTCAAATAGAGGCAATAAAGACAATACAAATCAAGACAATTCTGGAAATGGAAAATCTGGGTAAATGAATGGGAACTACAGATGCAAGTATAACCAACAGAATACAAGAGATGGAAGAGAGAATCTCAGGCACTTAAGATACAATAGAAGAAATAGATTCATCAGTTAAGGAAAATGTTAAATCCAACAAATTCTTAACACAAACATCCAGGAAATCTGGGACACCATGAAAAGACCAAACCAAAGAATAGTAGGGATAGAAGAAGGAGAAGAAGTCCACCTCAAAGGCACAGAAAATATATTCAACACAATCATAGAAGAAAACTTTCTCAACCTAAAGAAGGATATGCCTATAAAGGCATAAAACACAGAGTACCAAATAGACTATACCAAAAAAAAAAAAAAAAAAAAAAAAAAAAAAAAAAAAAAAAAAACAGAGTTCTCATGTCATATAATAATCAAAACACTAAACATAAAGAATAAAGAAAGAATACTAAGAGCTGCAAAGAAAAAAGGCCAAGTAACATAGGAAGGCAGACCTATCAGAATTACACCTGAAAACAACTTGGTATTGGCATAAAAACAGACACATAGATCAATGGAATCAAACTGAAGACCATGATATTAATCCACACACCTATGAACACCTGATTTTTGACAAAGAAGCCAAAATTGTGCAATGGGGGAAAAAAAAACGCATCTTCAACAATCGGTGCTGAAATAACTTGATGTTGACATGTAGAAGGATGCAAATAGATTCATATCCCCATGCACAAAAAAAACAAAAAAAAAAAAAAAAAAAAAAACAAAACAAAACTCAAGTCAAAATGTATCAAAGACCTCAACATAAATCCAGTTATACTGAACCTGATAGAAGAGAAAGTAGGGAGGGGGGAGGATAATAAAAAAAAAAGAGAGAGAGAGAGAGAGAGAGAAAGTGGGAAGTAGCCTTGAACACATGGGCACAGGAAACCACTTCCTACATATAACACTAGTACCACAGACACTGAGAGCAACAGTGAATAAATGAGACCTCTTGAAACTGAGAAGCTTCTGTAAGGCAAAGGATACCATCAATAAGAGAAAAATGCAGTCTACAGAATGGGAAAAGATCTTCACCAACCCATCTGACACAGGGGCTGATCTCCAAAATATATAAAGAACTCAAAAAACTAGACACCAAACTACCAAATAATCCAATTAGAAATGGGGTATAGATGTAAAAAGAGAATTCTCAACAGAAGAAATTCAAATGGCTGAAAGACATTTAATGAATTGGTTAACATCCTTAGCCAACGGAGAAATGCAAATCAAAACAACTCTGAGATACCATCTTACACCTATCAGAATGGCTAAGATAAAAAACACTGATGACAGGGGGCTGGACAGATGGCTCAGTGGTTAAGTGTTCTCCCAGGACCCAGGTTCAATTCCCAGCACCCACATGGCAGATAACAAATGTCTGTAATTACAAATCTGACACACTCACACAGGCATACATGCCTGAAAAAAACAATGCAAATAAAATAAACATAAATAAATTATTTTTTTAAAAAACCCACTGATGACAGGTTATATTAAAGAGTATTCAGAATAAGGGGAACACTCCTTTAATACTGGTGGGAGTACAAACTTGTATAACCACTTTGGAAATCAGTATGGTGGTTCTCATAAAATTGGGAATCAGTCTACCTCAAGACCCAGCAATACTACTCTTGGGCATATACCCAAAGGATGCATAATCATACTACAAGGACATTTGCTTAACTATGTTCATAGCAATATTACTTGTAATAGCCAGAACATGGAATCAACCTAGATGCCCCTCAACTGAAAAATGAATGAAGAATATGGTACATTTACACGATGGAGTATTACTCAGTGGTAAAACAAAACAAAACAAACAAACAAAAACAATGACATCTTGAAATTTGCAGGCAAATGGATAAAACTAGAAGAAAAAAAAAAAACATCCTGAGTGAGGTAACTCAGACCTACAAAGACAAACACAGTATGTACTCACTCATAAGTGGATATTAGACATAAAGCAAAGGATAATCAGGCTGCAATCCATAAACCCAAAGAAGCTAGGTAAAAAGAAGACTCTAGCAAGGACACACATGGAGGGCCCCAGGAAGGTGAAATAGTTAAGATCTTCTGGGAAAACTGGGAAGTAGGTGGAAGGGAGGGGGTGGGGAACGGGAACATGAGGGATAGAGAAGACTGAGCTGGGGAGGGAATGGAGGGGAAGAACAATGAAAGATTTATCTTGAAAGAGGGAGCAATTATGAGGTTGACCTCTGGCCTTCACATATATATACACACCTATACATATGGCGCACACACACACACACACACACACACAATTTTTGGAGAGACATACATGGTCCCTTGGAGAAGGGAAAAGGGACAAGCAAGATCTCAAAAGCAAATTGGGAACATGGGGGGAGGGGAGAGGGAGTTAGGAGGAAGAGGAGGGGAGAGGTGGGCATGGTGGAGCAGGAAGATTGAGTCAGGGAAAGAATAGAGGAGAGCAAGAAAAGAGATACCATAATAGAGGGAGCCATTATAGGTTTTAAGAGAAATCTGGCACTAGGGAAATGTCCAGAGATCTACAAGGATGACCCCAACTAACAATCTAAGCAGTAATGGAGAGGATACCTTAAATGCCCTTTCCTGATAATGAGATTGATGACTACCTTATATGCCATCCTAGAGCCTTCACATAGTAGCTGATGGAAGAAGAAGCAGACACCCACAGCTAACCACTGAGCTGAACTCTTGGACAAGTTGCAGATAGGGAGGAGTGATGAGCAAAGGGGTCAATACCAGGCTGGAGAAACCCACAGAAAATGCTGCCCTGAACAATGGGGGGCTCATGGACTCCAGTCTGATAGCTGGGAAACCAGCATAGGACCAACACAGATTCCCAGATTCCCTGAATGTGGTGTTAGTTGGGAGGAGTGGGCAGTACATGGGGCCTCTGGTAGTAGATCAGTATTTATCCCTAGTATATGAATGGACTTTGGGAGCCCATTCCACATAGAGGGATATTTCCTCAGCCTAGACACATGGGGGAGGGTCTGGGCCTTGCTCCAAATGATATGGCAGACTTTGAAGACTCCCCATGAATGACCTCACTCTCCCTGGGGAGCAGAAAGGGAGTGAGATGGGGTTGGTGGAGGGAACAGGGGAGGATGGAAGGGTGAGGGAACTGGGATTGACATGTAAAACAAGCTTGTTTCAAATTTAAATTTTAAAAATTATATAAAAATATTTTAAATGACATGAAATAACTAAAGTTCTTTCCAGATATAACACTGAGTCATTTATGTCATAAAAATATCCAAAATAGCCTACCTTCTGCAAATGTAACTGTTACAGTCTCTCTGAGAATAGTCCCACTATCTGTAGTCCACTGAAGCTGAAATGAGAACATTTGTTTCAGTGAAAAAGGCTTTACACTGAAAATACTCTTAAAACATAATACAACTACCATATTTTCTCTTAAAAATTTATACTTATTTATTTATTTTGTGTCTCATGCATACACATGCCTTGACACACATGTGGAAACCAGAGGACCATTTTTGGAAATCAGTTCTGCCCTTCTACCGTGTGTGTGTGAATGTGTATGTGTGAGTTATGGTGTGTGAGAGTGTGTGTATGTGAGTGTGTGTGTGTGTCTGTCTGTGTGTGTGTGTGTGTGTGTGTGTGTGTGTGTGTGTGTAAATGCCAGAGGACAGCATTGAGTCTATTTCCTTTGAGATGGCATCTTTCGCTGACCTAGCGCTCACTAGTCAGCCAGCTCCCCTCCTGTCCCTGCTTCCCTATGGTTTCTAGGGGGTCACACTTGGATCATCATATCTGTGAGACACTTACAGAGTGAGCTCTGTCCCCAGCTTCCTATTTTATTTTCACTGCACTTGGTTTTGTTCTGTAATCACCCTCTACTTGTTCACATCTCAAAGCTCAAGTATGTCTCACTATGTTAGGGTCTGTGAGTTAAGATATCAACAATTTGGATAGGAGGTGTATATAGCAAATCAATGTTATTTTTTGAATTCTGTACAGTAATAATTAAGTCTGGATACAAAACAAACAAACAAAAACCACCCCAGTAGGTCTAGTATTTAAAATATTGAAGTACTAGGACTGGAGAGATGGCTCAGTAGTTAATAAGCACTGGCTCACCTCCCAGAAGACCCAGGGTCCATTTCCAGAACCCATGATGGTGGCTCACAATCACCTTTAACTCCGGGTTCTGGGAACAAACACCTCTTCTGGCCTTCATGGGCCCCAGGCACACAAGGAAAACATATATACAATTTAAAATGTTCAGACATTAAAACTTGGAAAGTAAAAAGTCAGGAAGGCAAAGGTTAGTACTACGCAGCTTTTAATTCCTAAGTGACTACCTTTATTATAACCACTGATTTCTGGATAACTATGGTAAAATTATCTGAGAAATTACTAACATTGACAGAGAAACTACAATATAAAAATATGAGGTAGAAACTGATGTTCATGTATGACATACAGTGCATCTGAACCTGAACTACTTAACCTTGAACATCTATGTTTAAAAAAGGAGCAAGGGATATATTCAGTATGTGCTCAATAAATGTCTGTAAATTGATTAAGAAACTATTTTTATAAAGAAAAAAATACTGATTCTTCTTTGTTATACTCAAGATTTGGAAATCTACTATTTCTTTTCCTTGTGAGAGTGGCATGAAATATTCAGTCATTTTCTGAGGGCTGATAGTATTCATATTTTAGAAAATTAGCCAGTGTGTTTGCTTAAATCATAGTGTTTGAAATTGATAACAGTAGCCCTTTCTACTAAGCCAAGTATTACCATGAGCCACAGTGCTATTGGATGTAGTAATAGGGGTTGAGAAAGCCTCTAAGGACACAGAAATGGATATGATCATACCGTTGCTGGAATAGTCTCTGAGTTACAGACCACATCTCCAGTCCTCAAGGATTTCTGTACCTCATGGATATGATTCTTTATATCATTTACAGTTGGAAAAAATGATAAATTATGTCTTTCAGGTATCTCATCAGGTTTGAACAGTTCTCTTTCCACAAATTTCCTGGGGAGGATATAAAAAAACATATCTGTAATGATACACTTACAGATTGAAAAAAAATCTTTTTCAATATAAACTTTTGTAAAGTATTATTCATATTTATGCAAATAATTCATATTAATGTAAGTAATTCTGTAAATATTAAATATTAGCCATTTTAGATTTCTTTCTATTCATTAAAACAGAATTCATACAGGTTAAAGAATGGTGTTATTTTAATTGGTTCAAAGCACACATATTACAGAGCTTGGACATTTCATTTGTTTGTATGTTTGGAGACAAATTTCTCTGTGTAACAAACCTGGCTATCCTGAAACTCACAGACATCCACCTGCCTCTGCCTCCCAAGTGCTGGGACTAAAGTCATAAACCAGCACTGCCTGGATGAGCTTTAACATTTTTATGAATTAAACTTGAACCACAACCCTCAGTTTGGACATTATAATGTTTTCACTGCTTACCCTGTCAGACACAATTTTGAACACACTTCAGTTATTTCTTTTAACTATTACTGTGATCATGTGACCAGGTGTAACATTAATCCCACTTTACAGATAAGGGAGCTGAAGACTGCACAAGTTGAAGTTGCCCTGTGTTATATTCCTATTTTATAAGTAAGGAAGCACAGACCTATTTCTAATTTGTATATATAAACATCATATTACACTGCTTCCAAAAGGCATCAATTAATATACATGAAATTTGATGGCTCTTTGAGTTCAAGGCCAGCTTGGTCTACATAGTGAGTTCCAATCTACCCAGGGCTATATAGTGAGACCCAATCTCAAACAAACAAAAAGTAATTTTTGTACATACTTATTTTATTAATCAGATTTCACTACATAATAACCAAAAGGAGCAAGAAATTACAACATTACACACAGGCTGTAGTACTTACTAGACCCAGGTTTCATTCTGGCTCTGTCTTTCAAATCCAATTATTTAGCAATTTTAATTTCTATTTCTCATGTGTTAAGTGAGGATAAAGACATAATCTTTACTAAGTTGCTGAAAAATGATATATTTAGCCAGGCAGTGGTGGCACATGCCTTTAATCCCAGCACTTGGAAGACAGAGGCAAGTGGATCTCTGTTGAGTTTGAGGCCAGCCTGGTCTATAGAGAGAGTTCTAGGACAGGCTCCAAAACTACACAGAGAAACCCTGTCTGGAAAAACCAAATATATACATATATATATATATATATATATATATATATATATATATATACACACACACACACACACACACACACACATACATGTTTGGCAGAATATGTGATACATATATATAATTGTCTTATGAGAATAATTATTATACTTTAGATAGTTTTTCATCTAATGAAACTTTTTTTTTCTTTTTTCAAGAATGATTTTTCTCTGTGTATCCCTGGCTGTCCTGGAACTAGCTTTGTAGCCCAGGCTGGCCTTGAATTCACAGAGATCCACTTGCTTTTGCCTCCCACGAGCTGGGATTAAAGGTGTGTACCATCACCTCCAGCCTAATAAAACTTTTATTTGCAGTATTTTGAAGTAAATTTAATGGTACTCAAGATAATTTGCTTAATTAGTATTGTAGTGATACATACACACATATATATAATATATTATATTTATATATAATTGAAAATAACAGCATACATTGTTATAGTAAATAGTTTAGCTTATCTTTTTAAAAATCAAGTATTTTAATTTTTGAGAACTTCATACATATATATATTCTATTTCATTCCCCATATTATTTTAGAATAAAATTTTATTTAATTTCAAATAATCTAAAATAAGTATGTTAGCCTGGGATATTAATTTTTTTCTCCCTCTTTAAAATATGTATTATGTCAATCAATTCATTACAGGGATATTATGACTCACACCCATAATCCCAGCACTTGGTTATCTGAGATTAGGAAGATAGCTGAAAACTGGTAGCCAACCTGGGCTATATAAGTGAATTAGAGGCCAATCTGGGTTACATAGTAAGACCTTAGCTAGTAAAATAAAATGAATTCATCATGTAGAAATTGTCCAATCTGCCAAAGATGTAGTGTCTCATACGAGCATTTAGAATTATGTTAATAAATACTATACGCAGCTTGCCAGGCATTTGCTGAAAATAATGTCTGTAGGTAAGAAGAAACACACTATATCCTGTAATAGCATATGTCCTGGAAAGTGGCTATAAAGTTCCCACAAGGTTAAGTGTATTACTTAAGAACAAGTGTAGAAGAAAACACTGCTTCTCCTGTACCTTAGCTGCTTCCTCACTGCATACACTTGTCCTACTCCCTGTGACACTAATTCCTGAATCTTATGCGCTACTTGTGGGTGGAGGCGCGAGGGCAACGCACAATTCTCATCTCTGACTACAGTTTCTTCTTCGTCAAGAGGAGACACACGAAAAGGAGATGGTGACAGAGGGAGGCCACGAGTCTCTAAGTCATGATACTGATGAGCTTGCTGTGTAGGTAACTGCACATACCATCTGACAAGAGAAAACATTAAAATTTAAATATTAAAATTAGATAACTGTAGACAAAGGTGGGAATCATAATTACTTAGGTCAATAATCATCAAGAAAAGGAATTTTTTTTTTTTTTTTTTTGAGACAGGGTTTCTCTGTGTAGCTTTGTAGACCAGGCTGGCCTCGAATTCACAGAGATCCAACTGCCTCTCGAGTGCTGGGATTAAAGGTGTGTGTCACCACCACCCAGCAGGAATAGTCTTTTAAGCTAAAATTACATATGATAATGGCATGTGGAATAAAATTTTAAATGTCTTATGTTCAACTCTTCTAAGATTGACTTTATATTCAATTAAAAAGGTAACTTCATAAACTTTCAATATGACCCAAAAGTTAAGGCAATGCAGGGATTTACACATATATGAGGGTAGAGAGATGGCTCAGAAGTTAAGAGCACTTGTTAGTCTTACACTGGACTGGGTTTTGAGTCCCAGCACCTGAATGGTAGATCACAACCATCTGTAATTCCAGCTCAAGGGATCCATAGCTGTCTTCTAACTTATGTAGGCACCAGACATGCATATGGCATACACACATACACACACACACACACACACACACACACACACACACACACACACACACCATGCAGGCAAAACATCAATACACATAAAATAAATAAACAAACAAATAAATAAATAAACAAAGCATTCTCAATTCCTGTTGGCCCAATGAATAACAGAATCAACTAATATGTGAACACTTCTCATGTACAATAGTGCAAGAGATTGATGCTAGGGGAGGGGGGTGAAATCAAGCAATCTGGTAAAATACTGTTTTAATTGATTTTTCTTTTTTGTTGTTGTTTTTGAGACAGGGTCTTACACTGTAGCTCTGGCTGGCATGGGACTTGGCATGCAGACAAGGCTGACCTCCAACTCAGAGATCCACCAGCCTCTGACTTCTGAAACATAGAATTAAAGGTGTACATAACCATACCCAACTTAGATATTTCTGTACAACTGTGTGTGTGTGTGTGTGTGCGCGCGTGTGTGTATGTTGTTGGGGACTTAACTTTGGGCTAAGCCCTTGGCTAGGAAAGTGCTTTATACATGAGCTACTTAAAGGAGTCTGTTCTTTTATCATGCGGGCCCTGGGGACTGAACTCACTAAGGCATTTCACTGGCCCCTGTACTTGTGCATAATATAAACAAAACAGAGCCTAATTAATATTTACATAGTATGGAGCTGGAGAGATAGCTCAGTTTTTAAGAGCACTTGGTTCTCTTACACAGGCCCTGGGTTTGAGTCTCAGCACCCACATGGTAATTCACAACCATCTATAACTCAAGTACCAAGAGATCCAATGTCATTTTCAGACCTCCATTGACATCAAACATGCACTGGTGCACATATATACATGCAGGAAAACATTTGAACACAAAATAAAATTTAAAAATATAGTAATTTTTTTAAAAATACAAATTTTAGAGTTATATGTTTTAAAAATTAATGCTAATTATTGACTTCACTTTTAAGTTTTTACAAAAGATCATAAAAAATGTTTTCTTTATAGTTGACCTCATTATACAATAATAAATTCTTCATCTGAACTGCCAAATAAAGGACAGTAAGCCAGAAGTATTATAGTTCCTCCTATTTAAGACATGAAGCACAAAATGGAATTTAACTTAGAGCTTAAAATTCACTGATTGCTGTCACAGGAATCAACAATGTATGTATGGTTAGAATTACATACAATTTTTAGGTAATAAAGTCAGTAACATACAATAGAAATAAGTTTAATACTGGTGAGGTAACTAACTTATAAGACCAGTCCTTAATGAAATAATTGAAAACGTAACTATAAGTGTCCTTGTTAATGATGCTAATTAGCACATGAGAGGGCTGTAGGAATGCCTCACCGAAGAACGCCACCAGCGTCTACCAAGTTCTTCTTTAGCATGGTGAAGGCTTTCTCCTGCTCCATTCTGATGACTTTCCTGTCAATTTGGGGGTCTGTAGGTACTCTATATTCAGGGAACTTCTGTACCTTTTTAATGTAAATCCTTTATACAAGACAAAGAAGAAAACTGTTTATTATGGTCTCAAGAAATACCTAACATCAATAAAAAGCTCAAACAGAGAAGTTAGAGAATAGTTAATTCAGCATTCAGAATCTTATTAAATATGTCAAATTAAATGCATGATACTTAGAAAATTAACAATTATCACAATGTGAGTATAACTATCTAAATATAGATAATTTTTCTGAAATTTTTTTCCTTCATTGTTATGAAAGTCATGATTCACATCGGGTTTATTTTCAGGATACTCTTTCAGACTGACTGCCTTTAAACTTCATTAGCTAAACACATTTAAGACAATGAAGACACTTAATTTTTTCTTTTTTCAAGACAGGGTTTCTCTGTGTTGCCTTGGCTGTCCTGGAACTAGCTCTGTAGACCAGGCTGGCCTTGTACTCACAGAGATCTACCTACCTCTGCCTCCCCAGTGCTGGGATAAAGGCATGCATCACCACCACCCAGCTGGTTCACATTTTTTATCCTCACCCAGAGCAATAACAACCTAGTCCTTTATCTAAAAATTACTATTGCTCTCATACATTGCTGGTATGAATGTAAATTGGTAAAATCTCTCTTAGAACCAATTTTTCTTTGTCAACATTTTATTATTTATTTAATTATTTGGTTTTTCAAGACAGAGTTTCTTTGAGTAGCCCCGGCTGTCCTGGAACTCACTTTGTACACCAGGCTGGCCTTGAACTCACAGAGATCTGACTGTCTCTGCCTCCCAAGTGCTGGATTAAAGGCATATGACTCCACTGCCTGGCTCTTTGTCAACATTTTAAAAGTATATAACCTTATAGGGATTTATCCTACTAATAAATGTAAACAAGGTTATTAATTGTGGTTTTAAATCTAATAACAGAATTCATCATCAGGCATGTTGGTAAATATCTGTAAATCCTAGCAATAAAGAGGCAGAGGCAAGAGGGTGTGGAATTCAAGGCTACCCTTGACTACACAGTGTGTGTGAAGGTAGCCTGGATGACATGAGATTCTATCTCAGAAACCAATTTTTTCATGGCTTACATATCTATCCATAGGGGATTAATTAAATGTTATACTTACAAATGGAATATTACACAGCTATTTAAAAGAAAAAATACTCATATACCAATATGAAGCCACTTTAAAGATAAACTAGAAATGAAAATAGCTTAGTGTTTATTAAGTAGTATATGTCATATGAATACTAGTCAGCAATTTGATATCTGTACGTATTAGAGACTGGGGTAGTTTGAATGTAACTGGCCTCCATAGGAGGTGTGGCCTTGTTGGAGTGGGTGTGGTCTTTTGGAGGAAGTGTGTCACTGTGGAGGTGGGCTTTGAGGTCTCATATATGCTCAGGCCATGCCCAGTATTTCAGTTCACTTCTTACTGCCTGTGCAAGATGTAGGACTCTCAGCTCCTCCAGCACCATGACTGCCTGCATGCTGCCACACTCCACCATGATGATAATGGACAGAACTTCTGAACTATACACCACCCAATTAAATGTTTTCCGTTATAACAAGAGGCATCGTGGTCATGGTGTCTCTTCACAGCAAAAGCAACCCTAACTAAGACAGATACTCACTACAGGCTTTCAGGTCACAGGGAAGAGAGAATACTATTACCTCAGTTTAAGGAAAGAAAGCATTAGTGGGATTCACTGACCTTTTAGGGTAGGTGGAAGGTAAGTATATACTCATACACATACATATTTATATATAGAAAAATCTTTGAAAATGATGCGAAAAGAAGTGTTAAGAGTTGAGGCTTTAATGGGGAACATACAAAACTTAGAATTCACTGTACACAATTGAACTGTCTGAACTTAATACAAATGCTTTTGTTTGCTATTCAAACATAAGACGTTAATGTAAAAAAGTAAAGGAGGATAAAATAAGCTTACCTGGCTGGACAAGTAGCTTTGTAGAGATGACAGGACCTACTTTCTTGCTCACCAATTCTTTTTAACTGGAAACCTTTCCTCCTTGGTCCATACTGACACTCCATTACCACAGCCCGACTACCTGTGGACCACAGCCAACCAGTGACAGTAACTGATGTGATTATATAGTCTAGACAGATTTTTAAAAACTTTGTTGTAGCAATTTCAACATCTATATTTGTTAAGTACATAAGCATATAGAACAAAAACATCAGGGTTTTTTTTTTTTTTTTTTTTTTTTTTTTTTCCGAGACAGGGTTTCTCTGTGGCTTTGGAGACTGTCCTGGAACTAGCTCTTGTAGACCAAGCTGGTCTCCAACTCACAAAGGATCCACCTGCCTCTGCCTCCCAAGTGCTGGGATTAAAGGTGTGCACCACTACTGCCTGGCTCAAACATCAGTATTTCTTACTAAAATGCAAACAGACATTCGTTTATATAAAATTTATCAAATATGCCATAATATGGTAAGGAATTAATAAACATTACAGTTACTGATACATAGAGACATGTTTTTGTTTTGTTTTGCTTTGTTTTGGGTATTACAAGGCAGGGTTTTTCTGTATAGCAGCTTTGGCTGTCCTGGAACTCACTTTGTAGACCAGGCGAGCCTTGAACTCAGAGATGTACCTGCCTCTGCCTCCCAAGTGCTGGGAATGAAGGTGTGTGTCAGATAAGACAAATGATTTTTAATAATACTAAATGCACTACTTTATAAGTTGAAGTTAGCAAATGTTACATTTGGTCAATAGTTAATACTATTTAAAATCTTAAATCCCTTTAAATCTTTTTTAGATTTATTTCATACAGAAGAACGTTTTCTTGCATGTACATATGTGTACATGTTCATGCCCACAGGGATAAGAAGAGGTGATGGGAGATGTCATTCTGTATATGTTTCTCATACTGGTTAATGAATAAAGCACTGTTGGCCAATAGGAAAGCAAGATAGGAGGGACTAGGAGACAGGAGGAAAGAGGAAGTAGTAAGGAGTCAACATGGAGAGGCTGGAGAGAGCAGGACAGCAGCCGGCTGTCCGGTAAGAGGAGACCACGTGGAAATAATAGATTAACAGAAATGGGTTAATAATTAAGACAGAGCTAGCCGATAAGAAACTAACACCAACAGCATTATATCAAATACAGAGTCTCTGTGTGTTATTTGGGCTGGCACGGCGGCGGGACAAGAACAGCAGCGGGTGGAAAAACCTAACTCCTTACATATGGCGCCCACGTGGCTAATAAGAACTCCCACTTAAAATTTAACAAAAGCTTTAAAAAATAAAGGGGTTTTTTTACAAACAAAAGAACAGAGACAAGCAAGGTTTCTTGGTAGTAGAATTTTTCTCGATTGGACTCTGATTTGCGAGAGACAAGCAGATAATTCTGCAGCTCCTTTAAGGAAAGGCTCCTGACTCAGCATAAGTGGCAAAAAACCACACGGCTTTTAAGAAACACTACTAACAATTTATTGGTGTGTACGAGAGCTTGCAATGGCAGTGACCACATCTACAAGCTGGCAGCATGCAGACCAAGGCAGTGAGCACAGTTCTCAGTGCTGGCGGTAAAATAGCCACTATCATCTTTGGTAAACTGCAGCAGAAACAGCTTTGACTTTCATTTTAGCAATGTTGTTGTTTAATAGATAAAGACTCGTAGCCAGACAAAGATAAAGATTTACAGTAAAGACAGATTCACATTAAGAAAAACCACTAAAGGTTTACAGTGTGTTCTAAAATATATGTAGGCTTGGGAGAGAAAAGAAATAAAATGGTTTTTAAAAGACAGGAGCTGGGTATGATGGCACACGCCTTTAATTCCAACATTTGGGAGGCAGAGGCAAGCAGATCTCTGTGATTTCAAAGTTAACCTGGTATGCAGAGTAAATTCCAGGACAGATAAGAGTTATACAGAGAAAAGTAAAAAAACCAAAATAATAAAAAAGCCACACGTGGAGAGAATCTGGATTCTGTACGGTATTATATTGTCTTTAAATTGTTTGACTGCTGAGAAAATAACAACAACTAATAAAAAATAACCACAAGTAATCTCCTCTTAAAAGTAAAAAGGGGATTGTGGTATAGATATGAATACTTTGTTTTGGAATGGATTTTCATTTATTGATACAATTTAATGTCAATTTTGTGGTATGTATATTTCTCCTTTTGTTTAGGTATTGTGTTTATATAGCTCATTTAGAAATGTAATGTATAATGGAGTACAGATTATAGATAATTACCTATGATAGTCAAAACTTAGAGTTAAGTTAGTTAAGTTTTTCAAGATACTCAGAGATTTGAGATAGACAGGAATTCTTCAAACCTTTCAAAGACCTACAGAATATGACATTTAAAATGGTTTAGGGTTTTTCTTGACAATGAGGCACAATTGCTCCTGGCAACATCACCTGCGTCAGAAAGAAAGATGGACATTGAAGAAACTCGTTAGGTAGTTTACTGCAAATATGGCAAGACTAGCCATTTGGACAAGATACTGCTCTTGTCTGGGCTGTTTGACTTTATGCTGTATAAACTGGACATGCACGACTCACAGAAAGATGACTGCTAATTCAAGATGGACATTGCTACACAGAGTTCCTGCTTCATGGAAGAGTCTGCCAGACAGTCTGCAGGACACAGAGAAAAGTGACTGACAAACTGCCAATACAAGAAGACAGTTTAAAGTTTCCTGCTTTGCTGAAGAGTCTGCCAGACACACTATGGCCTATGGGCTGAAGATAAAACATTACAAAAAACTTCAGGTGCCTGACCAGGTAGCAAGATGTCTCTGTCATTTCTAGAGTTTATATACTATCCTTCTGTGGTCTTTGAAGGAGTTGAAGACAAATAGTTATGGTTATAGTTTTCCTTAGTTAAGCTTAAAGATAAGTTACATATAGGACTTTAGACTCAAAATATTAGATAATAAAATAGTTTCTTTTAATCTTGCTAAAAGTTAATGGACAAATATTGTTAACTGTGATTTCTTATTTGATAACTGTTGTGTTATATATTTTGCTATGTTAAGGTTAAAACTCTTTATTTTAGACAGAAAAGAGGAGATAATGGAAGATGTCTCTCTAGCCCCCAATTTCCTTAAAAAGTGAAACCACAATGAAAGATTTAATTTTATTTATTGTTGTGTGTGTGCCTGCAAGAGTTTATGAGCACCAAGTGTGTGAAGGTGCCTATGGAGACCTGAGGGTGCAGTGCTGGATCCCATTAACTTGGAGTTACAGGTAGTTATGGGATGCATGATGTGGGAGCTGGGACCTGAACCCAGGTCCTCTGCAAGAGCAGAAGAGCTCTTAATTCTGCCACACCTCTTTAGTCCCCTTACTTCCTTTTCTAAAATCATTTATTTTGTTATATTTGACCTGTTAGATTAATGTGATGATCTGCCACTAAGATGGTACCCAGGCATCCTGGCCTCCTACTACTCATTTCCTTATGTAGCTCTTCACCTTTGACATGGGCTATATTGACCAACTTCTACTAAAAATGGCAATAATGACAATATGTTATTGTAGCTATTAGGTTATAAGAAGACTACAATTTCCATCTTGAGTACTCTTACTCTTACGTGGTCTGCTGCCTCTAGGTGACATTAGCTGCTATATAGTGAGGAACTCTATGCAAAGGCCTACACAAGTGAGACTGGAATTGTCTCCTCTCCTAGTAAGGTACAAGATGACTGCAATACCAGCCAACACTACAACCTCCGTCCATGTGAGAACCTGGGGCAGAGTCACCTTGCTAAGCTATACTTAGAATTATGACACTCAGAAACTGAGATAATAAATATTTGTAGTTCTAAGCCTTCAAGTTTGGTAAAATTTATTACATTAAAGTAGATTACAAATACATAGATGTGAAAACCATGCTACATAAGAGGTGAATATTCTACTCTACTGCAAGATACAACCAACTTTTAAGACATAAAAAAAAAACGGTTGGAGAGATGGCTCAGTGGCTAAGAGCACTGGCTGCTCTTCTAGAGGACCCTGCATCAATTCCAAGCACCTATATGGTATCTGTAACTCTAGTGCCATAGGATCTAATGCCCTCTTCTGGTTTCTGTGGGCACTGCACATATGTAGTACTCCAGCAACATATCCCTATACAAAAAATAAAACCTCAAAAATTTAAAATATATATAAAATTGTTAAACATAAATAAAAATTTGGAAGGCCGACACTAAAGTGTAAGACCTCTGTTTAAGGGGGATTATTGGTGACTTTATAACATTAATATAAACTACTATTATTTATTTATTTGTTGTTTAGTGTGGTAGTTTTACAAGCTCATAGGCACTATTGGGAGGTGTGGCCTTGTTGGAAGAAGTGTGTCACTGGAGGGGGGACGGGCTCTGAGGTCTCTTTTGCTCAAGCTTCCCTCATTGTCTCAGTCTACTTCCTGTTGCCTTCTGATTAAGATGTAGACAGCACTATGTCTACTGCCATACTCCCCACCAAGATGATGATGGACTAAACCTCTGAACTGTAAGCCATCACCCCAGTTAAATGTTTTCTTTTGTAAGAGTTGCCGTGGTCATGGTGTCTCTTCACAGCAACAGAAACCCTAACGGAGACATTTAGAGATAGAATCTCACTAAGTAGCCTTGACTGGCCTGTAACTCACCAGGTTACAGCCTTGTACTCAAAGAGATATACTTCCTTCTGTCTCCTCAGTGCTAGGTTTGAAGGCCTGTACCACCAAATATCACTCTGTTAATTATCTTAAAGTTTGATGCTGGGGCTGTTACATATGTTTAGGGAGGATAAAGATCAGAGTAACCATATGCTGACAGCTGTTGAAGATATATGATAGATTCCTGGAGTGTAAAGTTTTGTATATGCTTATCTCTATTTTTGATACATATGAAAATTCCCATAACATAACATTTCTTTATTTTGATACAGGGTCCACCATGTAACCCTGGCAGGCCTTGAACTCCCAGAGAGCGTCCTGCCTCTATTTCCAGAGTACTGGATTACAAGGTCATGTCCCAGAGCACCTGGCTGGTTTTGTTTGTTTGTTTGTTTTGAAACAGGGTCTCTCTGTATAGTCTTGGTTGTTCTGGAACTCACTATATAAACCAGACTGTCCACAAACTCAAAGATATTCTTGCCTCTGTCTCCTGAGAGCTTGGGTTAAAGGTATATACCACCATGCCTGGCCTAACCTAGATATTTTTTAAAGTCTGAAAATACTAAGCTCAGAATTGAATGTAAAGAAGTTTATAAGACTGCCAAAAGGAATGAAAAGCAGCAATTCTCATTACAAATGGTTGTGAACCATCCTGTGAGTGCTGGGAATTGAACTCAGCACCTTTGGAAGAGCAGCCAGTGCTCTTAACTTCTGAACCATCTCTTCAATCCCCCAACTTCTTTATGAGTAAACCTGAAACTTAAAATTTTCAGAAAACAAAGCCTTTGGAACTCACTTGGCTGCAGAATCTGATCTAAACAATAAAATTTTATGTGTCTATATATCTATCATCTATCTATGAGATGCTTTATTCTGTTAGTGTGACTATAAAGGATTATTTTTGGATTACATGATAGTGTCTGTAGGTCTACTTGGAAAAAGTTCTATTTATTAGCATACTATACAAATGAAGTATTATTTATTCAGTGTTATTGATTAAAACATAATTTTATTACATAAAGTAATTGCTTATATTTGTTATATTTTCTTTTTAGTTTAATTATTTCAGCCATTAAAATTCAATTCTCACCTACCAAAATGAAATATATCCTCTCACAATAGAGCACAGCTGCTAGGGAATCTTTAAGTAACTAGTGAGAAGTACCTGCATTGACAAATGGGATTCCGTCGTATGGGACATACTGGGACTTCCACATCAAGCGTGTGGCAGGTTTGGCTGGGCTGGGAGACTGGCGAGTACCCCAGACACTCTGTGTTTGCTGCTTGTGAAAAGTTAGGATGCTTTCTAATTCAGTCTCACTGACACAGTAGCCACGGTAAGAATCTCCAATTTTCTGTACAAGGGAGAAATTAAATAAAAAAATCATTGGCAAATATGTTTCGGTGAACAGTAAACTAATGAGACAGTTATCTAAGATAAAATAGTATCAGTTCAATTCCTCACCACTGCCTGTAAAAGCAGTGAGGTCTGATATGAACTCAAGCAGTATCATTAAACAGATCTAAGGAAATATAATGACATATACACTGCCACACAAGAAGTAAATTTTAGAAAAGAAAACTTGAATAGGTAATATACCCATTCTCTTGTATATCCAAAATTCTAATCCTAGATCAACACAAAACTAACCATAAAGTGCTGGTTCTTTGCAATTTTTTTTAAAAAAAAGTATTTGTTTTTAATGTGCATTGATGTTTTGCCTGAATGTATATCTGTGTGAGGGTGTTATATCTTGGAGTTATAGATAGTTGTTAGCTGCCATGTCAGTGCTGGGAATTGAACCCAGGTCCCCTGGAAGAGCAGTCAGTGCTCTTAACCACTGAGGCTTCTTCCCAGCCCTTCTTTATGACTTTTTTAAATATAATGCCAAGAATCTATTCAATCCCAAGGAAAACTATGACTATGTATTCTAAAAAGAATCTTGTACAAGAACATCATTATATTAATACTTTTTATATAACATTTAATTTTGGGGGTATTTTATTTATTTTTATTTTATGTATGAGTAACTTATCTACATATATGTCAATATACACATGCATACAGTGGTGTCAGAACTGTAGTTATAGACTGTTGTGGGCCACCATATAGGTTTTGGAATTGAACGAATGTCCTCTGCAAGAGCCACAAGTTCTCTTAACCACTTTCAGAATTGTGACTTGGACATAGTGATATACACCTTCAATTACAGGACTTGGGATCTTGCAGTAGAAGGACTAACACAAGTTTAAAGCTAGCTTTGTCTGCATAGTGAGTTATCAGGCTAGCCATGGCTACATTATGATACCATCTCAAACAGTCAACAAAAACCAGCTAAGTATCTGAAATCAGTCTAAAACTTTGTGTCTGGATATCGAAGGAAAAGGTGTTTATTAAAAAACAAAACAAAAGAAACAAAAAAACAGGCATAGGATGTAGGAAGCAGAGCTAACTGGTGTATGGTCACAGTGAATTAAGGTAAAATCTAAATAAAACTTCAAAAAGATGCCGAAGTTCTGGGACAAGGGCAAGAATTAGAGAACTGGTGACACAGATTTGCAAATCATTTTATTAACATGAAAGCTGAAGGCAACAAAATAGGAAAACCCTTCAAAAGATAAAATAAAGACAAGATCAAAAGCAAATCTTGAGGAGTTTATACTGAGACTATAAAAAGAAATAAATGCAAACAAGGGGGGGAGGTAGTGCAACGCAAACGGTAGAAAGGGATGATAATGAAGTTTCAAGGCAGACAAGGAAAGGCAGCCACCATGGCGGGAAATGACAGTGAAGAAACAAGAGCCTGTGTAACTGCTGCTTTTTCTCTTGTCCCGTTTATTGTTTCAAGGGACAGGGTTTCATGCAGCCCAGGCTGAGCTTGAACTCACTATGTAGCCAAGGATGATTTTCAACTCTTGGTCCTCCTGCCACCCAAGTGCTGGGATTACAGGCATGCACAACTACAACAGGCTTAACCAGAGCCTATTATCTTTACAGAATGAAACAACAGGCAAGCATAAAGGCATACAGAATATGCATACAGACTTATTACTTATATTTAAAATGTTCATTTGGGGATGAAATGTTTCCACAACCAGTTTAATGAGGTAAGGATTATCTTAAACTCACCTCACAACTCCTAAGACGGCAGGCCCATATAGGTGTGTTAGAAGAAAGTGGCTGAAGAGGAGCCAGCAAAGGTTCTTCAAGCATTCTGAGAGGAAATGAATAGATGTAAATACGTAGTTTTATATACACACACACACACACACACAGAGAGACAGGACATTCAAATATTCAAATGCTTGGTCTTTTCACTTTGTGTGTACGTATGTAATATTGTATTATATGGAGACACACATGTGCATATACGTGTGTACACATGTGTATTGAAACCAGAGTTTGACATCACATGTTTTCCATAGTCATTCTTCAAGTTATTTATTTATTTATTGTTTTTTTTAAAGACAGGGTTTCTCTGTGTTGCTCTGGCCATCCTGGAACTCACTCTGTAGACCAGGATAGACTCAAACTGAGATCCTCCTGCCTCTGCCTCCTACAAGCTAGGATTAAAGGCGTGTGCCACTGCCACTACCAACACCCAGCTCAGCTTATTTTTTGAGACTAGGTTTCTTGCTGAACCTGGAGCTCACCAATTCTGCAAACTGGCTATCCTTGTGCCCCTCTTTCCAAAGGTCACAGACAAGAACTACTGCACATGGTTTTGAACACAGGCCTCACACTGTGTGCTGAATGCTTTAGTAACTAAGTCATCTCCCTAGACCACCTCTTTAAAGATATATTTTATATGTCTTCCTCATACTTCATCTGTAAGTAAGTATGTATACCACATGTGACTGGAGGCAGAGTGGGCATTGGATCCCCTGAATTTGGAATCAAAGGTGGCTATGAGTCATCATATGGATGCAAGGAACCAAACCCAGGTCCTCTATAAGAACAGCAAGAGCTCTTAAGCACAGAACCATCTCTCCAACCTCAGACTCTTTCTTTTTTAAAACAAACAGAAAAACATTTTAATGCAGGATTTATTCCATGCCACTGATTTATGTTTCTCTGGTTTCTTCTGGGAATCTCTTTCTTCTGTGAAATCTTCTACTCTGCTTTAGGAACAATTTTTCTTTTCCCAAAGGATCATCTTAATGATCTTTTAACTGCTGAGCAGTCCCTCCGCCCATGTTAACTTTTTTATTGGTAATCTCAATTACAGTTCCTGACACTGGCTAAAGGGATAAACCAGTAGAGTCTTCTTGTATATGGCCAAAGGTGACCTATGAAAATGGTATGTTAATCTCTTCACTCAGAAAACCCTACAGAATCATGCTCTCAAGAGAATCAGCTCTCAAGTTCATTTTAAAAATACCCAGGGAACTGCCCAGACCATCAAGGACACACATTCTCAAAAACCATGAAGCCTGTAAGATACTCCTTTAAAGAAGCAATGTGTGCCGTTCTGGTAGAATAGGAGTCAAGATGGTGGTCATGCACAGGCCAAACAATGGGGCTAGACAAAAAGTCGGTAGCTGTGGGAATTCTGCCAACTCCTAAGTGTACCTATTCCAAGTATAAATTCTAGAGCTGGGGAAATAACCACAGGAGGTCAGAGACCCACTGGTTCTATTGTGAGATGGACTTTACTAAAAACTCCATTAATCAGATTGCTCTCCAGAAGACCCCACTTTAACAGAAGACCACAATGTTTCTTGGGATCTCTTGGAATTGGTATCTATTCAGAATTAGTGTCCAAAAAACCCTGGAAAGTCTAATTGTTTCCCTAGTGTACATTTACCCTTGTAAAAAGGCATAGGACTCTCTGAGGAAAGGTGGGAGAAAGGCTAACAGTGAAATTCCTAGCTGTTTTAGCAAGGTCTTTTCCTAAAGGGTCTGGATCTGCAGACTGGCACAAGTCTGGAAATTGGTTTACTGACTGAGATTCCTTCTTGCCAACATCCAATGTAGTCTTTCTTTCATTTGTCTGAGATTTTTTTTGTTTATATAAATCAAAAAAGGCTTCTTACTGGTTTCATTCCTGGAAACACCATGATTGTTTAGTACCAAAAGCCCATGAAAGTCATGCCACAATAAAAATCACTTTGTCTGTGCAATCCATTATGGGTCAGGCCATCAGGGACATTGCTTTGTCTATGCTGCCCATTGCAATAACTACACTCACCTTGCAGAATTATAGTAGAAAGGATTTATTTTGGCTTACAGTTCCAGGGATAGAGTCCCTCATGGCAGGGAAGTCAGCATGGCTATAGGAGCAGGTCTGAGAAATCACATCTCAACCTCACACAGGAAGCAGATAGAGACAGCAGGAAGTGGTTGCAAACCCTCCACACCTGCCCCCAGTGACGACTACTTCCTGCAAGGTTCTATAATCTCCACAAGCAGGGCCACTAATGGGAATTAATGTGTTAGAAAACATAAACCTAAGGATGGAATTGCTCATTCAAAACACCTCACCCATCAAATATACGCTCATCCAGGTTGTGAAGCAAACACTGCAAGATTTGAAACTCACAGATCAACCACCAAACAAGCCTATAATTCCAAGGCTGGAAAAATAACTCAGTGGTTAAGAGCTCTGATTATTCTTCCAGAGAACCCAGGGTCAATTCCCAGTACCCACATGATAGCTCACAACTGTCTATAACTCCTGTTCTTGGGGGTCAGACACTCACACAGACATAGATGTGGGCAAAACACCAATGCACATGAAATAAAAATAAATTATTTAAAAACAACTATACCAAGAAAAAGCTGTGCAGTGGTAGGGTATGCTTTTAATCCCAGCACTCAGGAGGCAGAGGCAGGCCAGTCTCTGTGAGTGTGAGGCCAGCCTGGTCTACAAAGCGGGTTCTGGAACAGCCAGAGCTACACAAAGAGAAACCCTGTCTATAAAAAAACAAAAGCAAAACCAAAACCAAAAACAAAACACAAGTGTAACTCCAGTCCCAGGGACCCATACACATAGAGAATCAAAATAAATTTTTAAAAAAAGTTTTACAAAAAGATACTTTAAATATTTTTCTAAAATTATCGTGAAAAGTGTTATTTTTTAGGAAAAAATGTAAAACTGAAGTGAAATTAGCAAAAAAAACAGGCCATGCTTTTGTGGCTCTATGGAAAATATTTGCCTAGCATGCCCAACATCCTGCACTCAATTTCCAAAACACACACACACACACACACACACACACACACACACACGGTAAAAAAAAAAAAAAATTAAAGACCTTACCATATAGGAATTATATCTATATAAACGTGGTTAAACCATTTAAAAAATCTTAAGGACTAGAATAATATCTTTGTTCTGAAGCAGACTACTGACATTTCCCATTTCTCTAAAAGAACAGCAAGCTGTCTTTGTCAAGATGCACCGAAAATAAATGAAGATTTATGTGACCACCATTTCCTCTTTCTGAGCTTCTTATCTTTTCTATTATTGTCTGCCAGCTTTAGACTTCCATTGTCACCCCAAACACAGCTCCTCTTCCATGCCTCACCTGGTCCCTGGCTTTTTGGGTATCACAAGGGATGCTTGTGAACGAAGAATGTAATTGGCACTGGCTTCTAGGGTATCTGTTTTTAGAGATGGTGAGCCTCTGTCAGTGGGTTTCTCTTCAGAGGCATCTTAACAACAAAAAATAAGAACCATCAGTATCTTGAATAACACTCTGAAGATTACTTAACAAGAATTAAATCATTTCGAAGGAAAAAGAATAGTTCTGAAGTTAAAAAAATATATAAATTTAAATGAGACTGTCACTGATAAACTTATTTACTTTTAAATTGTATACTAACTATGGAATTTTGTAGTTAAGTTTTTATACTTACATTTAACAGTTATGGTTTCAAAATAGTAGAAATAATTGTTATATTAAAGTTTCAAATGTAATATGAAAATGAAAATTTTCATTTACATATTATACTTATAATATTCCTGCAAATCATGTTCTTGACTTAACTTTTAATTACTATTAGTAAAAACAATAAATTATAAAACAAAATAAAAATGGCTACCTTAAACCACTATATATAAAGAACAACAAAACATTGTAGCGATGATATTAAAAAGAGGCTAACTACATTGCAAAGGGAAGGAAGGAAAAGGAAGAAAATTAACAGGAATATTACCAAACAGGCAAAAAAAAGGGGGAGGATGGGAAGCCTGATTCTCTTTTCTGAATGTGGAACAATGGAAATGGGGAAGAGAAAAAGATTCAACTAAGTTTTAAGAAGGAATGGGTCACAAAGCTAGCAAAAAGAATCAATAAAGTACAAATATAAAAACCTTCTGTAGCTAGGTACTATATTTGTGCTATCGTTGCTATTTCTATAGTTAAGAAGAATTTATTTTATGCTCACTGGTTATTTGGGAGGAAGCAGGAGTCAACCAGTTTCATAGAATTCCAAAATGAAATAGACAGCTAACCTAGACAGGAGTTGAAAAATGAACTTAAGATTTATTGGGGCTAATAAAACTTTTTTCTAATTACTCAGTTCACAATCTTACCTAAAGAAATGAACTTCAGTTATGGACTTCCATAGGAAATTTTCTAGAATCTCACCTTAATCTTAAAAGCAGAGTCAAATCCTTGCACCCGTCCCATACTCACTCACCTTGAGGACTATTCACATCCACAAGCGGCTCCTGAGGTATAATCACTTGTGCCATTCCTGTCTGGGTAGATGGAATTACGTGAAGGGCTGGTAGTGATCATCTTGGAGGCATTAAAGAAATGCATATGCTGTTCTGATTTACCAGGGCTACTAGGTTATTCAAGCACACATCTACTTCTAGGATGGCCTTATTACTTCACTCTGCAGATACAGCACTGAGACTGTGCCAATTTTTCCAAAGGTCCCACAACTGACAAGTGCTGAAGCTAAGATTCAAAACCATTAGCTTGATCATTGCCTATCATCTTAAGCACCTATGATCTCAATCATGATAGCGCATGCAGAAGTTTAGTAACAGAGAGAGTGAAAAGGCAGCTTGGGCTACACGAAACCTTGTCTCAAAAACGAAAAGCAACTTACAAGTAAACTTTAGTATCTAAACACTAGTCTGACTTGAGCAGTAAGGTCTGCTTTAAATACTATTTGTAGTCTTTGTACTCTTGAAAGGAAAAAAAATAGCTACATTAAAAAGAAAAAACAAGGTCACAGGAAGAGTATTTCCAATATAATGTATAAGTCAATTGTATCAAGAAACTACGGTCACTTAATATGATTAATACATATTGCTAAATACCATAACAGCATAATACTCGACAGTTATAAAATATACTCACCATTTGTGCACTAGACACTCCCAACGACTGCAGGTCATATTGAACAGGCTGCCCATTTGGGTCCAACAGGTGAAATTGCTCTGCATGAAGGGTCTGTGTGTCAGTCAGAGTCTCTGGCATGTCCTGTGATGTGAGCGAATCATCTGTTTCAGGAGCAGTAATGGGCAAAATGGTAGGGGAGTCATTTTGTCCAAAGGAAGGATCCCCAGAGTCCATACAGGTTAGACGCTTTTGAAGTCAAAAGATAATAAACAAACACATATATATATGACATCAGTCTTTGTAAAATATATTATATCTTTACAAAGTTGTTTTGTTTTTGTTTTTGAGATATGGTTTCTTTGTGTAACCACTCTTGCTGTGGCACTAACTGCAGACCAGGCTGGCCTCAAACTCACAGAGATCCATCCACCTGTCTATGCCTCCTGAGTGCTGGGATTAAAGGCATGTGCTACCACTGCTCAGCCTACTTTTACAGTTTTTTTTAAAAAAGGACTGTATAATAAACATAGAAGGACATTTATATTTCAGTTCTATTCATTTTACTACAAGAGTCTTTGTTTTGTTTTGTTTTTTAAACAGGTTCTCTACATAACAATGGCTCCTCTGGAACTCACCATGTAGGCCAGGCTGGCCTCGAACTCAGAGATCTGGATACCTCTCTGATGATATTAAAGATGTGCACCACTATGCCAAGCAAGTTTGTGTATTTTTAATACTGGATATTAAACCTAGGACCTTCTACATGCTAGGCAAACAATTTACCACTGAGCTATATTCCAGCCCAAAGTATTTAAGTCAGTGGTTCCTAACTTTCCTAAATTTGGGGCCCTTTAATACAATTCCTCATGTTGTGGTGACCCCAACCATAAGATTATTCTTATTGCTACATCATAACTGTAATTTTGCTACTGTTATAATTCATAAATATCTGTGTTTTTGGATGGTCTTAGGCGGTGCCTATGAAAGGGTCATTCGACCCCAAATGGGGCTGGGACCCACAGGTTGAGAAAGTGCAAGTGTTGACTTTAATATGTTTTAATTCCTTATTTTCTCGGGAATACATTTGGAAATGATGAAATATAATTCAGAATATATAGAGATTACAAATATTTTGTAGCTATATAAAAGCATTATTAAAAATTCTATATAAAATAATTAAATATGCTGGGTAGTGGTGGTGTATGCCTTTAATCTCAGCACTCAGGAGGCAGAAGCAGGTGGATCTCTATGAATTCTAGTCCAGCCAGGTCTACACAGCAAGTTCCAGGACAGCTAGAGCTACTGTGAAACCCTGTCTCAAAAAACAAAAAATTAAATATATGATGGATATGTAACCAAAACCTTTTTGAAACAGAGTCTGAAATATGCACCCCAGAGGCCTGACCTTGTACTCTTGATCCTCTGCTGTGCCTCCTGAATGCTGGGAAAACAAATGTGTGCTACCATCTCTGGCATATTAGAAATCAAGATTTCTAATCACTGAGGTATAAAGAGTTAGTAAAGGCATGCTGGTCCTAGATGCAACCCTACCTCAGACTCCTGAGTTTCTCTTTTGGCCTCTTCATCACTACAGCTGAACCCTACTGTACGGCACGGTTCCATGCTGCCTTCATCTTCAGTTTCATTTTCTCCTATTAGTTAACAGCTGAAAGATTAAACATCTGGTCAGTTGTCACAATCAACATTTTTATGGGGATGTTAATCCTAAATAAATTTTTCATCTTCCATTCTATAGAAGAAAATTACTGTTTTTAATTAACTTGCCAAGGCACCATAATATATTTAAGGCAAATTAAATATTAGGATTACATAGTTCCCTCATTCTGTTCTTAATTACACTCCATATTGGCTCATTAAAATTGAAATTTTGTTACAGTTATGACATTCACTGCACAATTATTTAATGCAAATAAAAGTTTAATTTTATGGGTTGGATGTAATATATATTAGCATTTTTTGAAAAGATGTCTTGGTACAAATGGGATTCTGCATGTATGAGAATATTTGTTTTTTAGGCTACATTAATCTCTAAGGTCTTAAGCAATTTGAGAAAAGATGTCTTGGTGCTAATGGGATTATAAGCACATGTGAATATGTGTCCCTCGGGATGTTAAATATATAGCATCACATAATTTTAGAAAGGTGTCTTGGCAGGGCTGGAAGGGATGGCTCAATGGTGAAGAGCACTGGCTGCTCTTCCAGAGGACCTGAGTTCAATTCCCAGCACCCATATGGTGGCTCACACCCATCTGTAATAAGATCTGGTGCCTTCTTGTGGTATACATGCAGATAAAGCACTCATATAAATAAATAAATAAATAAATAAATAAATAAATAAATAAATAAATCTTTTAAAAAAATGTCTTGGCGCTGACAGGATATGCATACATGGGAATACTCCAGTGGATGTCTAAATCCTCAGATAGGACCAAATCCTCCATGTGCATTTCTATACCAGCATTAATATACTGGGCCTATCAGGCATAGTAAAAGACAAGCCATAACAATAATAAAATAGAACAATTGCACTATGGTACAATAAGTTATTCCTAAAATTTTCTGTTTAGTATTTTCAAGTCATAGTTGACTATAAGTAACTGAAACTATGAAGAGTAAGTCTGACGGTGGTGGCAAACACCTTTAATCCCAGCATTCAGGTAAAAAAGGCAGGTGGATCTCTGTGACCAGCCTGGTCCACAGAATGAGTTCCAGGACAGCTAGGGCTACACAGAGAAACCCTGCCTCAAAACAAAAACAACAACAAAAACAAACTCCCTTTCCACTGTTTCTCTGAAGAGACATCTCTCTCTCTCTCTTTCCCTCTCCCTTTCTCTTTCTCTCTCTTCCCTTCCCCCAATAAAGCTTCCCAAGCAAAGAAAAAAACCAAAATAAAAAACCAACAAAACAGAGTGGGGGGGGGGGCTTCAGCAGATAAGTCTTCTGAGCCTCACCTGAAAGCAATGCATGCACGCACGCACCCTATACACAATGAACAGTAAAAAGTTTTTTTAAGTTAACATTTCAGATAAGAGGAACGTACTAGACATATTTATGTAATCAACCAAGGATGACTTTCTAAAGCTGTACTGCTGAAGACATAGCACACTTTTGTTTTAGGACTCAATCTAGAATTGACCTGAAAACTCCCTTTCTACAGGCTAGTTTTCCCAGTGCTAGAAGTTGCTGTTCCAGCCACTGGGGGGCGGGGATGAAGGGGGAGGTGGAGGCAGACAGCAATGGACTTACTCAGTAGCAGCACCTGTACGCTAAAACAGTGGCCTGCCAGGTGAAATGTGCCCACAGTTACAACAATGGCATGATTGTTATGGAGGTAACCAACTGCTTCCTAATTGGACCCGAGGTCCACTGCATAGGAAGAATCTATGTCTGGTACTCCAAACCTAGTCAAAAGCCCACAGCTAGGGAAGTCACAGGCACCAGAAGGAAACTTGCCATTGTTTTTGCTTAATGTATGTGTCAAACTAACTTTTAAATGTTATGTTTATAGCCAGAGACTTGTGCTGCTCAGTTCTGATCTGGAAAGCTTCTGTCTGCCGTGGGTAGCAGTCAAAGTGCTCAGAATTAGTGACTGTTGAGTGCTCAGCCCCAAATGGGATATTTATACCATCTTACCTAACATCAAGAAAAAGAGAGGAGCACAGAAGAATGTAGAACCCAGGCAGTGGGGAAGAGTGCTATGAAATGTCTTTTGGACATGACATGACTATGCCCTTATGAACTCCTGCAAAAGAATAAAAAATTAAAAAACAAATCAAGCTAGTCAATGTTCTAGCATGGATGGAAAGGGGACTCACAAGGTGCCATCATTAGCTGAGGAACACTGGCAGCTGATTTTCCTGTATAATGGAGAATACGTTTTCTTTAGGGTTGTGGCCACTGGTAGGCCCAAGTGCATCAGGACTCACTCAGTGGACTCAGTAGATTAAGAAAGTGAGAGGGACAAGTACTAGGGATGTCTGGAGGAGGTGGGACTTGGGCTGGTTGTGATCAAGTCATATTTATATATGTGTGAAATCATCAAAGAATAAACTTTAAAATTCCTGGAGAAGTAGACAATGATAACCTTAACTTTCTGATCTTCCTGTCTCCACCAATTGGGCATGGCTGTGCATACTTGTAAGGAAGCTAAAGCAGGGGGCTGAGTTCCAGGACAGCCTGGGCCACATGACCAGACCTATCACAAAGTCAACACCACTCATACTATCTAACATTAATTGACAAACTTGGAAAATGAGAAATTATGAATAATATAAACTTTGAGGCACTTAGATCTAGTACCATGATTGTCTTTGGAATGAGTTTGAGACAATAAAATGAGTCCTATTTTAGGCTATAAGGGAACTTTACATGGTTTCTCACTTAAGATTTTAAATCATCACATGTATCCTGCTATAATTTACTATAAAAATTCAACAAAACCCATAAGCTACAGTTACTAAACCTCCTGAGCTATAGAGAAGCAATATTATTGTCTACTTTAATGAATTTTATGTATTACTTGACAAATTACTTGTTTTTCAAAGTGGTTTTACAAACAAAAAAGATACTTTAATAGTTAATAATAACAGAGGGGGTTAGGAGACTGTGTACTGCAGAAGAGCCTTTTGTTACAGAAAAAAATAAGAAACTGACCTAAAACAAAACTTTATTTGGTATTATGCAATTAGAAAATGTAACAATAAGCCAGGTCATGGTGGCACAGGCCTTTAATCCCAGCACTCCTGGGGCAGAGGCAGATGGATCTCTGTGAGTTCCAGGACAGGCAGGGCAGTTACACAGAGAAACTCTGTCTTGAAAAACAAACAAAAACAAAACAAAACAAAAATAATCTATCCCCATATTCTCCTAAAAGTGAGCAAAACCTGAAAGTGAACATCAGAAAGCAATATTTTTAAGTATGGAGTTGAATGGCTATAGTCACTAAACCCATAATACATTACTAAAACCAAAAACCTAAATAAGTGGAATGATACATTATGGTCATGGGAAATACTGTTGTGATGCCACTATTACTCAGGGCCATTTATAGATTCAGTGCAGTCTGTATTCTGGGATTACATGTGTCTGAGAAGTGAAAGAAGAGCCTCGCTCCACAGATTCACATGGAAAATTCCAAGGGATTCTGAAACCCAAATAATACTGGAAAAGAATAAAACTTGTCTCACTTCTAAATTTCAAAACTGCATAAAATTATAGAAATAAAGAACAGAGGGGCCGGGCGTTGGTGGCATACACCTTTTAGTCTCAGCACTAAGGAGGCAGAGGCAGGAGGATCTCTGTGAGTTCAAGGCCAGCCTGATCTACAGAGTGAGTGCCAGGTTAGGTTTCAAAGCCACAGAGAAACTCTGTCTTAAAAACAAACAAACAAACAAACAAACAAAAAACCAGAAGGTCACACATTATTGAGCCATAAAAAGGAATGGATAGTGATATGCTACCACATTGATGAAACTGAAAAACATGCTAAGTTAGAAGCTAGGCACAACAAGTCACATATGTCATTACATTTATATAAAATACCTCATATAAGTGAATCCATAAAAAGAACAGTTTAGGGAAAGTACAGGTAAGATGTGCATGAAAATAATGAATACATGTTCTAAATGAGCTGAATTGCTGATTTTACAATGGTTAGATTTACTACTTTTGCTGACATATGCCTATTATCCCAGCACTGGGGAGGATGAGATGGGGATGATGAATTAGAGACCAGGAAATGAGGAAAAAGTGAACAGAACAAGGGCTAGATATTTGATGATACTAAGGAACTTTTCCAACAATGAAGATAATATGGCAATATTAACATTAATGGACGAAACTGTATCGTGCCATAATTAATGATTAGGATTTGTTTAAAAATTGATCAAAGCCTAAGAGAAAGGAATACAATTAGATAAAGCTATACATAAAACAAGGTCAGCCTTGAAAGGATGATGTGAGTGCTCATAAATGGTTTCACTACAAGCATTGACTTTGTATCAGTATACTACTATACTACCTCTATTGTCCTTTGAAATTTCCCTTCAGTAACTTATAAAAACTGGATAGAATCTGTGGCCAAATGGACAGAGCCACTGTCACAATGCAAGACTTCATCATACCTACCTCACATCAAGCAAACAAAAAAATATGAAAGCAAGAAAGAACAAAACCCTGAGCAAACTTGATTTACTAGATATACTTAGAACTTCATTCTAGCCAGGAGTTGTGGTGCACACCTATAAGTTCAGTATTTGTGAAGCTGAGACAGATAGGTCTATGGTTAGCCTCAGGTACCACACTCAGCTATATGGGACTCTTGTACCAAAAACAAAAATAGAAAACAAACAATAAAAACCCATTCTACTCTGAATGATGAGAGAACCAGGAACCCACCTTGAGTCGTCATGAACGTGAGGGTAGCAGGCCACAGGTGCAATGGAATGAAATTGCAATGTTTAGGCTCTCAGAAAGCTCTCAGTATAGACAATTAAGTTCAAAGGAGCTACAATATCTCCCAGTGACTACAATGTTGTATATCTGGAAGCTGTTGAGAGTAGGTCCTAATTAAGTATTCTTTATTTTATGTATATTGGTGTTTTGTCTGTATGAGGATGTTGGATTCCCATTGAAGAGGAGTTACAGAGAGTTGTGAGCTGCCATGTGGGTTGTGGGAATTGAATCCAGATTCTCTGGATGAACAGGCTCTTAACTGCTGAGCCATCTCTCCACCCCTTAAGTATTCTTAAAACAAAAAAACTGAAAGGAGCTGGGGAGACGGCTCAGCAGTTAAGAGTACTGGCTGCTCTTCCAGTGGACCTGATTTTAATTCCCAGCACCCACATCGGGTGGCTCATTACCGCCTATAACACAAGCTCCAAGGAATCTGATGTCTGTGGTCTCTAAGGGTACCTGCCACAAATGTACCATTGTTTTACACACATACACATACACACACACACACTTAAAAATAAAATTAATTTTAAAAAGATATACCATTCTTTTTTTTTTTTTTCTTTCTTTCTTTCCTTTTTGGATTTTTGAAACAGGGTTTCTATATGTAGCCTTTGTTGTCCTGGAATTCACTTCGTAAACCAAGCTGGCCTCCAACTCAAAGAGACCCACCTATCTCTGTCTTCCAAGTGCTGGGTTTGAAGGCATCTGTCACTACTGCTAAGCCATAATAATACCATTCTTAAAAAAGAAAGACTGGTATTTGGGATGAGACATGGCTCTCTGGTAGAGCACTTGCTTAGCATGCACAAGACCCTTTCTACAATCTTCAGAATCTCTTACACACACACACACACACACAGAGAGAGAGAGAGAGAGAGAGAGAGAGAGAGAGGAAGAGAGAGAGAGAAAGAGAGAGAGAGAGAGAAAATAAAATCATGAACATATTAATTCATTTATTTTAACACCACCATGTATACATATCAAATATGTTCCCCTTTATAAATATATACAATTTTTGGCAATGAATAAAAATCTTTGAAAAAAGGAAATAAGTATCTAAATAAAAAGTTAAAATGACAAATACAAACACATAAAAGAAATATATATTCTTACTAAATATTATTTAAATAAAAATAAAGACAGTAACAAATCAATTATTATTACAAGCAGTTCTCTAGGGAAAGAAAAGACTTATCAAGAGGTTGTGAGAGAAACCAGGAATGGTGGTGCACACCTTTAATCCCAGCACTCAGGAGGCAGAGGCAGGTGGATCTCTTTGAGTTCCAGGCCAGCCTGGTCTATAGAGTGAGTTCCAAGACTGTTAAACAGAGAAACACTGTCTCAAGGAAACAAAACAAAACAAAACAAGAATGAGAGAGGTTGGGGCAGTGGCTCAGTGCTTAATGGTTAAGAGACAGCACTTGCTATAGCAGATCTCTGTGAGTTCGAGCCTACCTGGTCTACACAGTGAGTTCTAGGACAGGCTCCAAAACTATACAGAGAAACCCTGTCTCAAAAAACAAATAAACAAAAACAAAAACAAGATCACTTGCTGCTACTCTTGTAAAGGCCCTGGGTTCAGTTCCCAGAACCCACATGGCAGCTTATAACTGTAACACCCATTCCAGGTAATGCAAAGGCCTCTTCTCATCTCCACAGGCACCAAGCATGCACATGATATACACATATACATGTAGCCAAAACACCCACACAGATAAAATTTAAAAAAATAAATATTTCTTGCCAGATGGAGGGGGTACATAACTTTAAATCCAGCACTTGGGTGGCAGAGGCAGGCAAATCTCTGAGTTTGAGACCTGCTTGGTCTAACAAGTCAATTCCAGGACAGCCAGGACTGTTACACATAGAAACTCTGTCTCAAAAAAACAAATTAATTAATTAGTAATTAATTAATTTTTAAAGAATGAGGAAAAAAGCACATATTAATATCAGTAATAAAAGGGACCAACTAAAGTAGACATTAAGGTGAAGAGACTATGGATATGTTTCTAGAAAAAAAAGAAAACTTACCAAAATAAGCTTTAGAACTATAATAGCTGAACAGTCCTATACATGCTTAAAAATACTAAAAGTGAAAAATCTTCCCACAAAATGAGTATCAAGGCAAGACATTTTACAAGGAAATTTTGGAAACCAAATATCTATACTCTTGCATAAACTCTTTAAAAGTAAAAAGGGATTACGCCTATTTGTTTTTATAAGGAAAGAGTATAAGGAAGAAAACTCAAAACTAATTTTACTTGTTATATTAGTCACGTTTTCTAGTTTTTGTTATGACCCTTTGGTATCTTTGGAGTCCCACTGACCAGGGAAGGACTTCTCTGATCCAGGCTGATTAATTCCTAGAGATATAAAAGATGCTCTCGCAAAAAATAACCTTCCTATGAAAACAAGTCCTAATAGTGGGCTCCCCGCAGCTACCTTCATTACTGGCTCCGATCCAGCTTTAACCACCCTCAGGCCAGATATCAGCCAAAACAAGCCAGAGTCCAGTAAGTTTATTCAACCTTTCTGATCTTAAGCCAGCTTAGTCTGCTTAGGCTTCTGTGTCCATTCTTTCTCTAAAAACCACAGGCAAGGTTCTTCTGCAGTCTTCTACCCTATGTCTACCCACCACCAACCTTGTTACGTGTCTCTTTGTGGTGCAGCATCCTCCACTCCTTTAGAGAACTCTGAATAATAAGCTATCCTTTCAATGGCAATCGTTTCTTCATCTGCTGACCTCACCATACCTAAGAGGAAAACAAAAATCAGAAACACATGAATGCAAAATTCCCAAATAAAATCACAATGAACAAACTCAGTAATGTCTAATTTTAAAAAATCCCAATTGGGCTTAATGAGACGGCTCAGTGGGTAAAGGCGCTTGATTCTTGGAACCCAGATGGTGGAGAGAACCAAGTCCTTCAAAAGGTTCTCTGGCCTCTACATGCACACAGTGGCATGTGCTTGAATGAGCACATGCATGCACACATGTGAACACATTAGACATTAGTCCATAAACAAAAAAATATTAAAATCTCTGATATCGGGCTGAAGAAATGGCTCAGCAGGTAAGCGCACTTGTTGCTCTGGTAGAAGATCCAGTTTGGTTCCTATATCTCACATAAAAGCTCACAACAGTCTGTAACTCCAGCTCCAAGAGATACGACCCTCTCCTCTGTCTTCTGCAGGCACTCCATGCACATGTACAGATATACATGCAGGGAAAATACCCACACACAAAATAAAAGTAATCAATCTAATGAAACCCCAGCATCAGTAAAATCAATCGATTTATGTACCACTAAGAAATAAAAACAGTAAGAAACCATGACTGTGTTGATAAATTATTTATGATTTATTAAAGATTGTCTGGGGGTTCAGAATGCAAAGCTAGCCACAAGTTACAGAGCCAGGCAGTGGTGATGCACACTTTTAATCCCAGCAGCCATACTAGCCAGTCACAGGGGTCAGGCAAATGGATCTCTGTTAGTTCAAGGCCACACTGAGCTACATGAAATTGATCCCAGTCCTAAAGAGAAACAGTTCACATAAAGGTGATTTCAGCTCTTGGGATCACATGCCTTTAATCCCAGGACTTGAGGTATATAACAGGGGCAGATATTCCGTTTGGGGCATTTTAGTCTCCAGCCACATTGAGGGTAGGATTCCTTCAGTCTGGGCAGAGGTTAAGAGCTACTGGCTTGGCTACTTTGCTTTTCTGATCTTCAGCTTGATGTCTAAACCCCAATATCAGTCTCTGAGCTTTTATTTTTCGTGTTACACATGATATATACTCTTTCACCACTTATTGAAAGAGTCTTTTAAATTTAAATAAATGTTTATTACATAAAACTCACACATTTATAAAAAAGAAAACTATATGCAAAATACATCTGCTAAACCATCCCTTTGCATTCTGAATCTGATTCCTTGGAACTTTTTTCAACTTTAGAGTTTCTGTTGTCCATGTTAAGGGTATTGTGGTCACAGGTAGAACAGATATTCTAGCTTCTGATGTATCAACAAAGACATACATGGCTAATACCTTCCTTCATCCATCTAAAATTCTTCCTTATAGCTATTAGGTTTCAATGAACTCATAATGTGCTTAAGTCTTTATTTTCCTTCCCTTCTTCCCTTCCTCTATCCTTCCTTTTCATTTTGTTTGTTTTTCAAAACAGGGTTTCTATGTTCTGGCTATCCTAGAACTCACTTTGTAGACCAGGCTGCCAGGCTGGCCTCAAACTGAATTGAGATTCACCTGCCTCTGCCTCCCAAATGCTGGGATTAAAGGCATGTGCCACCACCACCTGGCATGGACACCCATTTTTCAAAGATTTGAACACCAGACAAACAAAGAATCTCAATAAACAAATATTCTTCCTCCTTTTTGTGTATCTCAGCCAGCATTTGTTTGTTTTGGCTTTAGCCATTCTGACTGGGGTAGTAAGAAATTTCATAGTAGTTTTAATTTGAGTCTCTGTGATGGCTAAGGGTGCTTGTTGAACTTTTAAAGAAAAACTTGTAGAAATTTGTATTTTTCCCCCTTGTGAACTCTCTGTTTAGTTCCACTCCAATATTTTTAATTGGATTATTTGGGAAGGTTTTTGGTGTTTATTTTCTTTTTTTTTTTTTTTTTTTTTTTTTTTTTGAGTCATTTGTATATTCCAGACACCAGCCCTCTGTCAGCAGATAGTTCATACATAAATTCACAGCAGCTATGACTGCATGCATAAGACCTGCACAAGATCAAGCTAGACAAAGTCCAAGGAAGGAAGGAAGGAAATGAGAGTCATGAAGTGCTATCCCCAATTGGGAACAGTAGGCACCTGATGGGTCCTGTGGGAGGGAGAGTTACTGTTACACATGGATCCCACCCTTGAGAGGTCACTCATGCTCCAGTGGGTGGCCCTACACTCATGTCCCATGTACACATTGGCAACACTAAGATGACCCAGTGGACAAAGCAAAACAAAACAAAAACAAAGGCACATGAAGTTGAGTGTCCAGGGACAAGAAACTGGAATGGAGGGGGTGGGAGTGGAGGATGGGAATGGGGGATGGATTTGGTAATTTACTTTGTTAACATAAAAATTTAAATAAAAAATTTAAACAAAAAGACAACTGATGAATTTTAAAGAAATAAAATTTAAAAAGCTATTACCTTTAGGCAGTGGCTCAGGTTTCAGGTTCCTACATCCTCTTAGCCTCAATAATGTCCTTTTATGTTCACTGATGGTCTTTCTTTGGGGAACTAAATTATGATAGTGCCAGCTTTGTTCATGTGAAAACTGTGACTATGTCTTCACGGTAGCATGTTCTCTGCAAGGAAATGACAGTTGATGTATATTTTACTCTTCTACACACAAATAAAACTACTAAATTTCACTGTACATGTTTTAGTTATTATGAAGCTAATATGGTAGAACCTTATTCTACTCTGTTTTGAAAAAAGCTAGTCTAACTACCACTTTCATCCTCGAACAGGTGACTTAACCTTTGTCCTGCTTCTTTATTGACAAGTAGATAGTCATTTCAGGACCAACAGTTTATATTTATCACTGAAGCAAAGATTTCTGTAGCCACATATTTTTTCCTCTCAATGAAAATAATTATCAGGAGAGCATCTTTGAGAGCCGAAAGAAGCTGGAAAATAAAGTTTCCAAACCTACAACCTCTAATCTTAGAGTTGGCAAATGTATTTTGTAAGCAAAAAGTACCTGGGCTGGGGAGCAGAAGGAATGAAGTGTTAAAAATGGAATCTATTGGGGTTAGAGAGATTGCTCAGTGGTTAAGATCACTAGCTCTACTCTTCCAGGAGACATGGGTTCAATTCCTAGTACCCAAATGGTGGCTCACAGCTGTCTGTAACTCAGTTCTAGGGGATCTGACACTCTCACACAGACATACATGCACAAAAAACACCAGTACACATTAAGTAAAAATACATAAATTATTTTTTTAAATGATGGAGTCTATTTAATGAACTTTAGAAAGCTCGTTCTTCTTTTTCTGGGAAATGGCTTTCTAGGCTGTTTATATCACTTTACAAAAGTAGACTGTATTCTCTACTGCAGGGAAAGGTTACAAGGCTGTAGAGATTGTTCAGCCCTTAAGAACACATACTGATTGTGCAGAGGATCAGTGTTCAGTCCCCAACAGCCATGTGAAGTGGCACCCAACACCTGCAACTCTAGCTCCAGGGACTGTCATACCCTCTCTGGTCTGTGGGGGCTACACTCATGTGCACAAGCCACAAACAACACAAACACACAAACACCAATAACTAAAAATCAAAATCTATTGTTCCTGTGTTTCTACTTTATAAAGGCTGTTTGTTTATATATGGTGAATGCATGGCAGAGGGCTGATTGATTAGTCAAGATATTCATTTTTCTCTATAAAGGGCATTACTTGGGATATGGATGTTTGATTTTGATCAACAGCAAATTTACATGTTCAAAACTTTAAGGGTAATTTCTCAGGTGTACTTCCTGGAAAACTGTCGCCATCAATCTTGTACTTCCCACATAACCTTTATGAACTAAAATATATCTTTTAAAACTAATCACCTAAGCCAGGTTTGGTGGTGCATGTCTTTAATCTCAGCATTAAAGAGGCAGAGGCAGGCAGATACAACCTCAACTTTTTACTTTTTAGTAGAAAAATTAAGGATAGTGTTTACAACAACTTTTATGTCATCCCTAAAAACTTCCACAATCTTGATTTCTATAGCTCTTACACTGCATACACATACCTTTTTACTTCTTTGCTCTTTGAGAACTTAAAAATTACTTAATTTAACTTTACTGATTCCAAAGAGATGTTATTATCTGTTTAAAGGTAAGCTGAGCACAGTGGTAACCCACTGCCTTCTTATCCTTAGAGGACACACTCTGAGCCCATGTGAATACCTGAAATCAAGGATTCCTAGAGTACAAACCAATGATGGTTAATTTACAATTAAACGAGGAGCTTAAAAACAAGTTTTAACAATATACTTTAGTAAAAATTCTGTGATGTGTTCTCTAAATAGTTTGTTGATTGTAGATGTTACTAAACTAGCTGCAGCTTTTTCTCCCCCCCCCCAAATTAAAAATTCCATTGTTTTACTTAGAACACTTTAAAACTCCCCTTGGGAACCATTGTTGCCACTTTTGCATTTATTGTAACACAAAGGCTATGATATTGACTTAATAACCAAAAAGGTTACTATTACCAATGGGTGGGCAGTAGAGTGGGTACTCTCCCTGGACATGATATCCCAGATAGGAGGGTACAAGACATGTTACTGAGAAAGGCATACAATCTAAAACTCGTGAATTATTTCTAGAATTCCCATTTAATAATTACAGCAGGTAAGTGAAACCAGGGAACACAAAACTATGGCTAAAAGGGAACTGTGGTAACTCTCTTAAGTTACTAAGATGTAGCTCAGCCGTAGAGTGCTTGCCTGGGACACACAAAACCTGAGATTAATTCCAGAATTTTAGGTTCAGGTTCCAAACAAACAGCAGCCATGTATGGTAGCAGTATTCAGGAAGTAGAGGCAAGTGTATCTATAGCTAATCTGGGGAAACAGTGAATTCAAATCTATCCTGTACTACATAGAGAGACCCTGTCTCTAAACAAAAGACTGTAACAAAAAGAAATACTTTTCCATGCTGGGGTTTTCCAGATAACTTTGAGTCTTCATGAGGACCACAGTAAATGAATCCCAAAAGTTTGCAGTTGATGTTAACTAAACTTAAGGAAACCAAGACTCAAAAGCATTAGTTATCTGGGCACTGCTTGGAAACAACACCAGACAAGACACCTATGTCATTGTTGAAAGGAAAAATATCATACTGGGTATTCTGAATTTTGCAAGACTTAAAAACATTTGTTGGTGAACTCAAGACTTGTGCTTTGCATATTGAAATCTTTCCTTGAGTAATTCAGGTTCTGCATCTTCCCAATCATAGCATCCTGTTCATATTAAGATAAAAAATACATTGACTTTCAAGTACTGTTAATCTGATAAAGTCCAAATTTTAAAAAGTAAAAAAAACTACTTATTCAATCATATGCTATCAGTAAGTACGAATTCAAAAGTTACACTTCAACTAAGGTATTTCAAGTTTCAGATGTTCCAGCTTATTTAATGTACATCCTCAACATTATAATGACTCATGTATAAAGGGACAGACACACTGCTATTAGAAAGCCCAATCTTAACAACTGATTCTTTCTGGAATTTGGGCAGAGGTTTTCTCATTTTATGCCTCTACCTACCTCAGTAAAGTTTCTAGTTAAAACTTGTACTGCTAGCTCTTATGAGGGCAATAGATAACATTTACTGAGTGCTTCTTATGCGGCATTTAATTCTCACAGTTGATCAAAGTGTGGCATAGAGGTTAAGTAGCACAGGTAGAATCAAAATCAGGCATTCTTGTTACAGGGCATGCAATTCTGTAAGGTGAACACATTGAAAATAGTCATGCTTTTACTGTCATTGCTCACTTAACAAAAGATTTTTGTCCGCCTCCAATTGTTCAGATCACTTCCAATTTTCTACAGTGACATATAAAATATTATGCGACATTAAAAAAAAAAAAATCGTTGTTTTCATCTGCACACACACCGCTAAGCCCACACGTTTTGAAATCCAGTTCAGCCTGACTCTCAATTGCGGTCTCAGAGTCCGTCCCCGTGCCCTCCCTCGCGTCTCCCCCGACAAGGCCTTGCAGGTTTTCGGGCGAATGCCTTACAATGTGACTTGGGGGATCTTAAAGTACCCTCTATCTGTTCTCCACTCAGGAAAACAACTAGAGTAATAACTGGGACCACTGAGACCGAGATAGGCCTTTGGGTGACTTCAAGATTAAAAATCGAAAACAGTCTGAGAGCAGGGGAGACGTGCGGAGGCGGCTTTTCTAATCATCAGACTCAGAAAGGAGGGGAGAGGCCCCTGTCCGGCGGGCGCTCGGTGGCTCAGCACCCGCCGCAGGACGCCTAGCCTTCCCCTGCTGCAGCCTGCTTTCCCCGGCCGCGGGCCCCGTCCCGGGGACCGGAGTGAAGGGCCGGCAGTGGAGGCGGGCGAGGGCGCAGGGACAGCACTCAGGGGCGACAGGGGCGGGGGCGGCGGTTGCTCCCAGCCCGGGAGGGTCAGGAGGTGACGGGAGGAGGCGGAGGCAGGAGGAAGAAGGGCGGTCGGGAGGGAGCGTCCGACAGCTCTGCCAGACCTCCGACTCCCCCGACCTTGCCGCCGCAGCGAGCCCCACAAACGCGACAGGGGAGTCCGCCGGAGCAGAAGGGAGAAAATTCAAAGCGAGTCTACTCAACCTCGTCTTGGCTCCGAGGCCCCGCCATGGAGACCAGCACAGTACGCACGCGCACTGCTCCGGGAGGCGCAGCGCAAGCCCATAAGGTTGGACCCTTCTCGGCCACCATCGCCCAATTCCCTTCCGAGTCGTTCAACTCCTTTCCGTGTTTCTGCTGTGCAGCCTGAGGTAAGAACACATGGTCTCCGCCGAGTCGGGCCGTTGTTGGGACGATCCATAAAAAACAAACAGGTGGAACCTTTGTCACCCAGAGTTGAGGAGCAGGAGACGGAATATCTGCCCGGAAAAGGGAGTTTTAAGAGCAAATAAGGGAACCTGAGTGCGGTGTGGCTAAACAGATAACCAAAACCTACAACTCCCAGAGTTCAGAGCGTCCGAATCGCGCTCCCTTCTGGGGTTTGTAGTGTCTGAGCGCTGAGCCTAAAGTATCCGGACACCCTTTAAAAAAAAAATCGATTCGTTAGTTCTCTTCCCTATCGTCCTCATCGATTACGGATCTAGATAGTAAGAAGCATAAAAGTATTAAGGGGACTGGCTGCTTTTAAGGCCGTGCTTTACTAATCGATGTTCCCTAAATCTCGGAATAGGTAGTTGATGTGTGCGGGCTGGGCGCCTGTAGAACGGAACCTCGTGGTCCTAGGAAACCGGAGGAAGACCTCAGAAGCCTACCATCCTCTGCGCTTGCCGCGTACTTGTCTAATTTAGAGCTCCTTGGTTGTCGGCGCCTTCATTTCTGTCCTTTCCGCCATGGCACAACTCCAGGCACGTTTCTACACCGAGAACAAGAAGTAAGTAAGGGTCTCAGCTCCTGTCCCTGCCTTCCCCAAGCCCATTGGTTTTAAGACCCCTTCGGTTGGGACCTCGCAGTCACTCACTGCCTTGGGGGCTTGACTGGGGAATATACATTAAAGAAGAAACAGGCAAGGTTTTAGTAAAATCAAAGCTGAAAGTTTAGTAACTTCATGCAAATAAGATAACCAGAGTGCCGAGTAGAAACAAAACTTCATTCGCCCTCCCCTTCCCGTGCCCCTCACTTCTGCAAACAGTGGACACGTCTTAGCTGGCTTCCCGAATCTCCGTTTTTCTACCCACTTTCGTGAGCTCTTACCTTGAATTGTGTCTGGAGGGAACAGGGTTTCGAGTTAGTTTTCTGAATGATGCACACACTGTTTATTTGAGGGGTGAACGGTAACAGTTCTGTTTACAGGCTGTCTGTTAATGGTGTCTCATGGTTTCTGAAAGAACGATTTCATTTGCTCTTCTCAACCACTGTAGAAACTGGATCTCTGAATATGGGGTTCGTAGAGCTGGTTTTTATTCCCGTGAAGTCAGCTCAGTTACTGACTTGATTGGGTATATTATGTGTGTGTGTCCTGTTTAGTATGATAAAAACAGTATGACCAAAAGCAGCTAGGAGAGAAAAGGGTTTATTTGGCTCACCGCTACAGTCATCATCAGAAGAAGCCAAGACAGGAATCTGAGGCAGGGACTGAACCAGAAACCATGGAGGAATGCTGCCTTATAGCTTGCTCTCCCCGTGCCTATTTTGAGACAGGGATGGGACTTCCTCCTTCATCAGTCATTAATCCAGAAAATGCTCCCACAGACTTGCCTACAGGCCTATCTAATGGAGGTATTTTCTTAATTGGAGTTCCCTCTTCTCAGATGACCTTAGCTTCTGTCGAATTGACAAAACTACCCAAGACTCTGTGTGTGTGTGTGTGTGTGTGTGTGTGTGTGTGTGTGTGTGTGTGTGTGTTTATACATATAGATGGCAAATGTACACACAGTATGTGTTGAGATTCAGGTGCATTATATTAGTGAAACTGCACAATCCACCCAATCTTTTTTTTTTTTTTTTTTTTTTTTTTTTTTTTTGGGAGAGAGGTTTGGAAAGGGGTTTTATTGAGGGGGGTTACAAGCAGAAAATAGATGACTTTGATCAAAGATCAATGACCACCCAATCTATTTTAGAAAAAAATCCATCATTCTTTATTTGCCACTTGGTCCCTTAAATCCTCCCCACCCAAGTCAACTACTTACTTAAACCTGTCTACCATCTATCTCCGTGTGTGTGTCCATTCTGGACATTTTGTATAATGAACTTAAACAAACTATGTGGTGTTTTATGGCTGGCATCTTTTGCTTACTGTGTGTGTGTGTTTTTTTTTTTTTATAGTTTAACCATAAACCAAAATATCATAATACCTCATTAATTTTTTTGGCTAAATAGTCCATCATATGGTTCATTTTCTCTTATTGTCTAGTTAGACATTTAGGTTGTTTCACTGTTTTACCTATAGTGGCTATGTAAGCATTAGTATATATTTTGTACGTGAACATGTGTAGTCCTAACTGGCCTGGAACTCACTGTGTAACCAAGGCTGGCCTCAGACCCACTGATCCACCGGCCTTTGCCTTCCAAATGCTGGGATTAAAAAGGCCCATGCCACCATGCTCAATGAACATGCTTTCATTGCTCTTTGGTGTATACCTAAAAGTGTAGTTTCTGGGTTGGGTAAGTCCATATTTAACTTTTAGAGCAACTGGCATGTGTTTTCCAAAGTAACTACACTGTTTTACATTACCGCCATCAGTGAATGAGGGTTCTTCTTTCTCTGTCTTCATCCTCACTTTGTTTGCATCCTGATGGGTATGAAGTGATATTCATTGTGGCTTGGTCCTGTGCCTGTTGGTCATTGCTCTTTCTCTAGAAGAACTATCTATTCAAATCCCTTGCCCTCTAAAAAAATGACTTTATTACTGAATTATAAATGTTCTTTTTATATATTGTATATATAAGTTCCTTACCAGATAAATTATTTACAAACATTTTCTTATTTCTCTGAGTCTCCTGTTTTGCCTCTGGTTATATAGATCTAACTAAATAAAGTACTGATGTTATTATTTAACTTGAACTGCTATAGTAGTTCCTTGCTGTCTACACAAAGAACTAAAAATTATTTCATAGTACATGGTATTTAAAACACTCTACATGTCTTTACCCTTACCTTTGAACACTGCCTAAAGCAAAATCACTGCCTGAAATAGGAGCAAGTTCCTTTGCTCTGCTGTTCATACTTTCCCACAGTCTCAATTCCAGACTATCCCTCCCTTACCTGTCTATCATCACTTTTTGTATCTGTGGCTTAAGAATGGTGCATCCTTTTTGGGTCCTGTACTTCCACCCCTTTTCTCTGGTGGAACGACTGATTTCTGATAGTCTCATCATTTATGGCACTGTGTTCACAGGGTTTCTTTGTGCTTGGTTCTTTTTATTTATTTTTGAGACAGGGTTTTTCTGTGTAGCTCTAGCTGCCCTGCAACTCTGTGTAGACCAGGCTGGCCTGGAACTCACAGAGATCCTCCTGTCTCTGCCTCACAAGTGCATGCTTGAGTCTCTAAGAATAAAGACACCTTACTTCATTTTCTTTAATGCCTTGTAGCAAATGTCTGACATGAAGTACCCAGTAAATAGTTGTTGAATGAATAAGTGCAGATTTGCCAAAATATTTGTAGACATAATACTGATGTATCATTTCCCTTTTATAGATATGCAATAGATGATGTCCCTTTCTCAATCCCTGCTGCCTCTGAAGTTGCTGACCTTAGTAACATCATCAATAAATTGCTGGGGACCAAAAATGGTAGGTATATATGCTCCAAAATGTTAGGAGAAGGCATAGTGCCACCAGCTATATATAAATTTGTTTTGGTTTTGTTTTTTGAATTTTTGGGTTTGTTTGTTTGTTTGAGGCATGGTTTCTCTCTATAACTCTGGCTTTCCTGGAACTTGCTCTGTAAACCAGGCGGCCTTAAACTCAGAGATCCACCTCCCTCTGCTCATAACTGTAACTTCAGGATCTAACACCGTCACACAGACATACATGCAGGTAAAACACCAATGCTCACAAAATAAAAATAAATTATTTAAAGAATAAATAAGGGCTAGAGAGATGGCTCAGTGAGTAAAGTGTTTATGTGGAAGCATGAAGACCAGCGTTCAGAACTCTAGCCCCCACATAAAGGACAGGTTGGTGTGGTAACTAGCCTATAACCTCTGAGAAGGGGGTCTGTAGAACAAGCTGGCCAGCCACACTAGTGAAACATGAAGCTGTTCAATGAGACCTTGCCTTAATGTTTAAGGTGGCAAATGAGCCAGAAAGACATTCATCATCAGCCTTGAACTTCCACACTCATGTACAGATGTGTGCTCACACAAGCATATGTAAAAAAGAATACACAAATAGTTATTGCATTCGTGTTGATGTGGTAGAAAATCTGACATATTACCAATCATTTAGGGTTCACTAATTTACATGATATAATAGAGGATAGAGGAATATATTAAAGATACTTTGTAGGGCCATGACATAGCTCAGCTAGCTAAGGATGTTTGCTGTCACCCGCAATGATGCAAGCCTAGGGACCTAAGTTTAATCCTCACAACCCAAGTAAAAGTGGAGAGACCCAGCTCCACAAAGTTGTCATCTGACCTCCACACTTGCCCACAAACACTTCATACACACATAAGGTAATAAAAATAAACTTAAAAAATATAAAGACACTTTGGAGATGTAATTAACCAAGCCCAGACTGTAAGAAATATAAGATAGTTGACTTACTTTCCTCAGTGAAGAAATGACGATTAAAAGGAGAGGGACTTGTACAGATTGAAGAAATACACTAACCAGTTAGGTGTCGGCTTTTAAAAAGCCTACTCTATAAAATGAGCAGCTGCACATGATGGTAAACACCTTCAGGCAATTCCAGTGCTCTTAGAGATCCAGACAATGAGCTGAGAGCTGTCTGTTTAGCCTCTAGAGGCTAGCCTGGGCTATGTAGTGAGTTTGAAGCCACTGTGGGCTACACAGTAAGACCCAGTTTCAAAATATAAATTAAAAAAAAAAAAAAACCACATGAATAGTAACGGAGTATTTGATAGTAACATAGTTAACATTGTGTTCTAAATCCTTATATTTTAGAGGTACATAATAAAGGCATTTACAAATGTAATAGTATGATTTCTGAGGTTTGCTTTAGAAGAAGCTGTCAAGAAAATGGAGATAGAGATAGAAATGATTATTCACAAGTTGTTTGTATTAGAGTAGAATGTGCGTGTTCACTGTTATTTATACTTTTGTATATGTTGTAAATTTTCTGTAGAACAAAAGCTTTTTAAAAATTAGATAATGGGCTTCAGATAGTATTCAAGCTATTGCCTAGCCTGTTGCCCTTTTGCAGTATACTCAATAAACCACTCTTCTAAGACAAGAAGAAATGAGATTAGTAGGGTGTAGTTAGTTCAGTGGTAGAAAATGTGCTTAGCATACATATAACCTGGGTTCAGGCCCCTAAATAATTATGCCACCATAAAATCAAGCATAAATCTACAGAGAAAAGTATATTAGTTCTTTAGAAATCATGTAGCCGAGTGGCATGGTGGTATATGACTTTGATCGAAGCACTCAGAAGGCAGAGTGCTCTGTGAGTTCAAGGCTAGCATGGTCTACTTAGTGAGTTCCAGGGCAAAGACCCTGTCTCAAAAAAATCAGCCGTTCAGTGGCAGTGCACACCTATAATCCCAGGACTTGGGAGACAGAGGCAGGCAGATCTTCGTGAGTTTGAGGCCAGCCTGTTTTACATAGCCGATACACAGAGAAACCTTGTCTTCAAAAAAAAAAATAAATAAAATAACAACAACAAAAGCCCAAATCATTCAGTATGCAGCTGTGCCATGAGAAGTTGTGGAGAAACTGGGATGCAATGGGCACTGCAGACATGATTGCTTCAGGGTCTCCATACCTATGGCTCTGATACTCTTAAGACCCTTACTCTTTTTCAGAGCTCCACAAACATGTCGAGTTCGATTTCCTTATCAAGGGCCAGTTTCTTCGAATGCCCTTGGTCAAACACATGGAACTGGAAAACATTTCATCGGTAAGTCCAAGAACTGCTTATGTTTGATTTAATACATGACTAAATATTTTGAGTAACTGCTTATAGAATCAGCCTAAATTGTTTTCAGCGCTCAAGAATATTTTGTTGTTGTTGTTTTGGTTTGTTTGTTTGGTTGGTTTTGGTTTTACAAGACAGGGTTTCTTTGTGTATTTATGTCTATCCTGGAATTTGCTCTGTAGAACAGGCTGGTCAGAGATCTTTCTGCCTCCCAAATGCTGGGATTAAAAGCATGTACCACCACCAACTGACTTTTTTGACCGTTTTTTATGGATCTTAGAAAACATTTTAAAATTACATTTACTTATTTACTTATTATATGGTTTATGTAGGTACCACAGCCTGCATGTGAAGGTCAGAGAACAATTAGTGGGAGAATGGGAATCAGTTCTCTTCTGTAGGTTCCAGGGATTGAAGTTAGGCTTGCTAGCAAGTGCCTTTGCTCACACACAGAAATTCGAACTTACGTTTCTATATAGTCATCTTTTAGACCCCCTTCTAAGCAGATTTTATTCAAGAAAATGAATTAATACAATCTTTAAATTTGTGAAAGCATGAGTAGGAAAAGGAATGACAAGTCTATGTATACTAATAAAACAGGAGCACAGCATTATTGCACACATCTCAGAAAATGCGGGTTAGGTTATAGTGATTGTGATACTCTACCTGTAATTTTTAAACTTTCTTGTTTCTTTTTGGTTTTTCCAGACAGGATTTCTCTGTGTAGCCCTGGCTGTCTTGAAACTCACTCTGTAGATCAGACTGGTCTCAAGAGATCTGCTTGCCTTTGCCCCCCAAGTGCAGGGGTTAAAGGTGTATACCACCACCACCCAGCAAACTTTCTTTAAAGTTGTTTTTATAATTAAGACTATCACCAAGCGCTGGACAGATGGCTCAGTGGTTAAAAACATTGACTCTCTTCCAGAGGATCGGGTTCAATTCCCAGCACCTACATGATTGCTAACAGCTGTTAGTAACTCAGTCCCAGGAGATCTGACTTCCTCTTCTGGCTTCCTTGGATAACTACATACACATGTACACACATATACATGCAGATAAGATACTTGTATGCACAGAATAAAAATAAATAAAATCTAAAACAAAAAGAATAGAGCCAAGAGTAATAGTGTATACCTTTAAATGTGCCAGCCTGGTCTACATGAGTTCTAAGCTAACCAGGGTTATATAGTGAGACCCTGTCTGGGGTTTTTTAAAACAGGGAATATATGGAGTCAGCAAGATGACTAACTGAGTAAAGGTGCTAACCATGAAGCCGGATAAGTCCAGTTCATTCCCAGGACCCACTTGGTAGAAGGAGAGAGCCAACCCCAACAAGTCATCCTTTGACCTCCATGTACACTTTGGAATACATGGATGCACACATACACACACACAAAAAAAAAATAGTAATTGTTTAGAGTATACTTTGTGATTTTAAAATATATGTAAGAGCAAGCATCATTTTAGCCATTTTTAAATGTACAGTTCAGTAATGTGAAGTACGGTACTGTGCAACTATCACACTGCCCATTTCCAGAACTCTCATCATCCTGAATGACACTCTCCTCGTTGAAAAATATGCTAGTATGATCTTTTTGTTTATCTAAATATTTTCTTACATAAAAGCTCTTTTGGGAACTAGGGGGAAGGTTCTCAGTAGTTAAGAGTATTTGCTATTCCAGAGGACCTGAGTATCTGAGTTCAGTTCCCACTACCCACATTGGGCAGCTGATAGCTGCCTATGATTCCAGCTCCAGAGGAATCTGATGCCTCTAGATTCCACCCAAACTCATGTTCACATGCCCACACATACACATACATAATTAACAATAAAAATAAATATTTTTTAAAACTCTCTTCTTATTCTCACTTTTAATATAAGTTTTCTGAGTCTTCTAACTTTTATATTCTTAGCTTAATGTAATATGAGGCCAAAGAAAATCTTGACTTTTTTAATGGCTCCCAAATTTTCTGTCTTCAAAGTAATATTTAAAACCTGTCCCCTGATTTATTTTCTGTTCTCTGTGTGACTAGGAAGAGGTTGTGGAACTAGAATACGTGGAAAAATACACCGCACCCCAGCCAGAGCAGTGCATGTTCCATGATGACTGGATAAGCTCAATTGAAGGGGCAGAAGAATGGTAAGCCATGGGAATGTGCTTTTTATTCATTCTTTCTCTCTCTCAAGATTTAAGTATTAGGTATACAGTGTTCTGTCTGCCTACCAGAAGATGGTTGTGAGCCACCATGTGGTTGCTGGGAATTGAACTAAGGACCTCTGGAAGAGCAGTCAGTGCTCCTAACCTCTGAGCCATCTCTCCAACCTGCTTTTTGTTTTCTTATATACATCTTTCAGTCTGTCATCCACAGTGTGACCGTTTCTCTCAGATTCCTTTTTCTTCATGAAATCAACTTTGTGCTTTGTGTATTGGTGACCACAACAAACAGGCTTTTGCAGTGTATTCAAGAAGAAAGTGTTTATTATTAGATTTTCTTTGTTTCAAAGTGTTGTGATATTTGTATTCTATGTAAGTCAGCAGTCATTGATATTTAAGACCAGAGATACCTACTGCTTCATAGAGGAGAAAAATTACTTTTTATGGCCACAAATCTCCCTGCCTACTACCATGAAGATTCAGATATGCTACTGTAGGGCTAACACTGGCAGCCTGGAGTAAAAGAGGTGTGTGTGTATGTCTTAGATCAGGGGTTTTCAACCTTCCTAATGCTTCAACCCTCATGTTGTGGTGACCCCCCAACCATAAATTATTTCATTGCTACTTCATAACTAAGTTTTGTTACTGCTTTGAATGGTAATTTAAATATTTGATATACAAGATATCTAATATATGTCTCCCAAAGAGGTCTAGACCCATGGGTTAAGAACCACTGTCTGTCTTTCTTTCTTTCTTTCTTTCTTTCTTTCTTTCTTTCTTTCTTTCTTTTTTCTTTCTTTCAGATAGGGTTTCTCTGTAGCTTTGGATCCTGTCCTGGAGTTCACTCTGTAGACCAGGCTGGCCTCAAACTCACATAGATCTGCCAGTCTCTGCCTCCCGAGTGCTGGGATTAAAAGCAAGTGCCACTGCCACCCAGCAAGGACTACTGTCCTAAGCAAATGACTACTCCTGATCATGATCCTAACAGGCTTATAGAAAAGACACCTTCGGAGTTGATCAAAGGGTTAGTTTCTGTCTTTCCTTGTGGGGACCATTTTGTTTTTATTCATTATTATGTTTTGTTGGGGGATGACACTGCACGTGCATAAAATGTGTGGCAGTCAGAAGACAGCTCTGCGAAGTTGGTTCTCGCTTTCCATCTTTACGCTGTTTACAGGGTTTGAACTCAGGTTGTTGGTTTTACAGCAAGTGCTTTATTGCTTAGCCATTTGTTATCCTGAAGCCTACTTATTCCAAAGAATAAGTACTTGGAATTATTATACAAAGGTCGGGGTTTTTTGGTTGTTATTTTATTTTGCTTTGTTTTTGTTTTATTTTTTGAGATAGTGTGTCCCTTTGTAGACCTGGCTGTTCTAGAACTTCATATGTAGACCAGGCTGGCCTCAGACTCAGAGAGAGATCTTCCTGCTTCTGTCTCCCAAGTGTTGGGATTAAAGGTGTGCTACCATTGCCTGACTTGGTTTTTCTTCTATTCTTCGTGATTTTCCCTTTTGCTTTGGTGGTGGTGGTGGTGGTGGTGGTGGTGGTGGTGGTGGTGTGTGTGTGTGTGTGTGTGTGTGTGTGTGTGTGTGTGTGTCTGTCTGTCTGTCTGTCTGTCTGTCTGTCTGTCTGTGTCTGTCTCTGTGTGGTACTGGACCATCAGATTGAGAGGCTTCTGCTTGCTGACCACTGAGCTGCATCTCGTCCCTGCTTTTCTCTTGCATAGTTTTCAGTGGTTAATTACAGAGCTTTAGGCTTTACACACAGTTTGCATTGCTTTGGTGAAATTTATAGCATTTGCAACAATAAAAGTGAGATCTCATATTGTTTTAGTGGTTCAAAAAATTAGTGTGACATCTGAACTGTTGTTATGCTTTGAAATTTTGTTCTTCATATTAAAGAGGATTTTACTCTCCAAAGTTTACTTTGCTATTGCCATATGAACAACTGATTTTCAGGGCTTCAGAAGTCATCTTTTTGTATTTCATAGCATTTTTTTTTCCCCATTGTAGGATCCTGTCTGGTTCTTATGATAAGACTTCTCGGATCTGGTCCTTGGAAGGAAAGTCAATAATGACAATTGTGGGACATACAGATGTGGTCAAAGATGTGGCTTGGGTGAAAAAAGGTAGGAGTCTACTTAAAAGGACTAATGAGTGTTTAAAATTGAACTAATTTTAGTCTAGCAAAAGAATGATTGAGTTAAAAATGCCTCAGTTGATACACCTCAGTCTTTCAGAAATGTACTCAAGAAGGAAAGTAATAAATACTATTTTTTGTTTTTTGAGACAGGGTTTTTCTGTATCCCTGGCTGTCCTGGAACTAGCTCTATAGACCAGGATGGCCTCAAACTCAAAGAAATCCACCTGCCTCTGCCTCCTGAGTGCTCAGATTAAAGGCAAGTATCACCAACCCCTGGCAAGAGTTAATTTTTTATTATTTATTTTTTAGTGAGAAGTTTTATTAGAAAGGAAAAAGGGAGGAAGAAAAGAGGTAAAGAGACAGAGACAGAGGACAAAAGAGGATCGAGAGACAGGAAAAGTCCTGTCTGTCCCATTGGAGCAGCAGGAGGGAGGAGGGAGAGACAGAGACACAGACACACACACACACACACACATACTCTTTTAAAGGAGTCCTTTGCACCTGTGTGCTAACCAGGGTACTGCCTGAGTGTCTTCTTCCAGATGACAGGGACAAGCCAGCATAATGTCTGAATCCTCACATTCCCACCTTTATTTATTATTTTAAAAGGTGAGGAGTTAGGTGTGGCGTGTTAGGGAATAAGGGGTTGAGTTCTCAAGACTACTTCTTGCTGACCTGGGGGGGGGTGTCGACCATCTTTGGGGGATTTGAAAACCTGGGGTGCTGCCATGTCCTGGGGTAGCTGGTTGTTTCATTGTAGTTCAGGTTGTATGGAACTCTAGTGCCTCTCAGACCTGTTTGGGTGGGTCTAATTCAGCTCCCTGGAACTTACAAGAATTCAGACATGGTGGTGGTGAATGGAAGAATCCAGAGATCCTTAGTTGGAAAAGTGACCAAGTTGAAGATTACAGAGTCCAGGCATATCTCAGACTGTCTTAAGCAGTAGGAAATGCCAGAAAAACCAGCCAAGTCACATACACCAAATGTTATGATAACATGAGGGGATCCTTGACGGATTCCATGGCAGGTGAGGGTGACTGAGGCAGAGGGACAAACATGCCAGGCAGAGCTTAATTGAGAAGTTTTAGTAGAAAGGGAAAGGGGGGGGAAGGAAAGAGAAAAGAGGTAAAGAGGCACAGAGACAGAGAGAGAACAGAAAAGGGAGACAGGAAAAATTCTGTCTGCCCCAGGGCAACAGCAGGAAAGAGAGAGAAAAAGAGAGCAAGAATTAATACTTTTTAAATCCATAGATTGCTGTTTGTTTCCCCCTGGTCCTGGAGACTGAATCCAGAACTTTGTGCATGCTGGGCAAGCATACTGCCACTGAGCCATAGTCCTAGCTCCAAATCCATAAATTTACGGAAGTAAATCTTTACTAAAATTATCTCGGTTATTAAGTATATTGAACATATTTTTCCTATTTTTAACGAATCTTCTCTTTTGGACAACAGCAGGGAGTGGGGAGGTGATATGGTCAGAGACTAGCTGTATAGCTTAAGTTTGCTAGAACTTGCTCTGCAGCCCAGACTGGCCTAAAACTTGCCACCCTCTGCCTAAGCCTCCTGAGGACTGGGATTACAGATGCACACTACTAGGCTAGGTTTAATAATTTTCCTTTTTTACTATGATAGCTTTCTTTTAAAAGCAGTCCATCTGATTTAGTATTAAAATATTCACAAAAATACTCAATGATGAAAAATAAGATGCAGTTAAGAGTTTGCACTAATTTGGTTTTTTTTTTTTTCCTCTTTTATTTAGACAATTTGTCCTGCTTACTACTGAGTGCCTCAATGGATCAGACTATTCTCTTATGGGAATGGAATGTGGAGAAGAACAAAGTAAAAGCCCTACATTGCTGCAGAGGTCATGCTGGGAGTGTGGATTCTATAGCTGTCAATAGCTCAGGAACTAAAGTGAGTAGTAGCCAGTGTGTTGCCACTGTTATGTAAAGCTAGAATTTCAGCAACTGATGAATAAACGTTGTGTGTTTGTGTGTGTGTGTGTGTGTGTGTGTGTGTGTGTGTGTGTGTGCAGTAACAAAGAATGTTTGATGCAGCCAAAGATAAAGGTTTATGATTTATCTTGAGTCACAGGGAGTTTTTGTGTTGTTGATTATAGATTTAAATGAGTTAATCATTCTTGTCTTTGGGCTAGGAAATTAGGAAACCTATATTTTGCTTATACATGGGCAGAAACTGATCTTCAGTTTGTTAAAGCTTCAGTTTGTGGTAACCAAAGAGAGAATGAACAAACCAGCACAAGAAGGTGATGATACACTTGGGCTCCAAGAACCCTCTGGAATGGAGGCTAAATATAGCTGGCATACCTCAACCTTCCCTGTGTTCCCAAGTCACCTTTGTTCAATTTGAACCATTTTCTGGTTTTGTCCACATGAAATACTAGCTAGTGTTATCCTGTACTATTTGTCTCAGGGGTGGATCTGTTTTGTTTACCTTAGGAAAAGTCTTAACTTCATTTCTCAGGATTTATTTATAAAGGTTCTAGAAGCAGAACAGATCTATTAGTGTAGTATAGGTTAGTTACCCAGTTTGATCTGAGCAGCTGTGCAGGAAACAGGTGCATATAAGCATGACAGCTGGTTGTCATGGAGATCAAGGTTACAGCTTCCAGAAGACTGGAAGCCAAGTATATGATTATCTAGTAGTAAAGGTTGCAGAGCCTATGTACAGAGAAATGAAACAAGCAAAGCAAAACTTTGAAAGTAAAATGGGGCCAGGGGACAAATAATGTAAGTTATTACATATGCTTTCTCCTTTGTATGTGTCTAGTTTTGCAGTGGCTCCTGGGATAAGATGCTAAAGATCTGGTCTACAGGTATAAATATTTTTTTGTGCTTTGACTTATTAATGTTTCTAGAATTTTAGTGAGGGACTTTTAATTCTCCTATTTGCTGTAAAAATAGACCAATGTTTTTTAGTATAACAAAGAGAAGTATAGTATGAAGACCAATTAGTATATTTCTGTTTTAAGATTTTTGATTCCTTTTTTTAACCCTATCACCTCCTTATTTAATAGTTTCTGATTTGCTACATATAGATCAAATTGTCTTAGATCTCTGAATGCATTTAATTAAATTTAATTAAACCTGGATATTCTATTTTGAATAATTTTGACTTATTTTAAGTCACTTAAAAATGAGTTTTGTGTGTCTGAAGAGGAGGCTCAGTGACTAAGAGGCTTGTTGCTCTTGCAGAGAACCCAGATTAGTTCAGGCACTTACATAGCAGCTCACAGTTGTCCTCAACTACAGTTTCAGGGGATCTGACACCTTCTGGATCCTGGACACCAGGCACAATCAGTATGCACCCATAAATGCAGGCAAAACATGCATACACATAACAATCTTTAAAAACGTTCTTTTGAGGCAGTGTCTTTTTATATATCTTTCACTATCTTGGAGCCTGGCACTGGCTGTATAGACCAGCCTGGCTTCAAACTTGTGATCCTCCTGCCTCTGCATCTCAAATGTTGGGATTATAATCATGTACCACCATTCCTAGCTTACTTTGAAAATACAGATTAAAAACACAGTGAAGGTGAGGACAGATTCTTGAAAGAGGTTAGAAAATGGTGATGGGAACAGAAGAAGAGGGGATCCCACACAAATTCTTAAATTTTGAGACCTAACAGCTAGGACTATTTCTTCATATGTAAAAAGTTCAGAAAACCCATTACTTCTGTAATCTAGTTAGGAAAAAGTAAATCACTATTCATAAAAGGTACAAAATATTAAAATCTATAGTTTCAGTCTTAACTAAATGATGTTTATAACAGATATTTTCAAAAAAAAAAAAAAAAAACCGAAACATCCAAATGACCTGGAAATATAACCCATTGATATAGTGTCTGCCTGCCTGGCTCTGGCTTTGATCTCTAGCACCACAAAACAACTATGAAGGATTTTTCTTTTTTAAAACAGGAAATGAGATTAAACATGGCTGAAGTACATCTTCTACCTGTGTGTACCTTATTTTCTGCATGGCAGAAATACAGGATGGTCATAGTAACTTAGTCTGGATTGAACTGGACGCAGCTTTTCATAATTATGATGAAATGGTCCATATTTTTAACAATGACCATAAAAAACAGAGTAAGATTTCCAACTGCTTAATTTTTAAATATGCTTTTAAAATAAGTCCTTGTCCATGTTTGGTTGTCAATCCAGGAAATGTTTATGCTTTTGGTGCTACCAAGGGTCAAGTCTAGTACCATGTGCATGCTGGTTAGGTGCTTTACCACTGAATTACAGTCCTCCAGAGGTCAGATACAGTGCTCATATACAGTTTTGTGTTAACCAAAACAATAAGGAATACACATTTCCTAATAAATAAAAAAAGAAAGAAAACAGTATACCCAGAATATAGGACATTATTGCAGTTTGACTAAAATTTTCAATATTAAATATTATTCTCCATGATGCAGTCCCTACAGATGAAGAAGATGAAATGGAAGAATCCACAAATCGGCCAAGAAAGAAACAGAAAACAGAGCAATTGGGACTAACAAGGGTAAGTTTGTTTTTGTTTTTATTTTAATTAAAATATAATCACATTATTTTCTCCTTTCCCTTTCCAACCTCTAACTCCTTCCATGTATACACCCCCCCCCCAAATTCCTGGCCTCTCTTTCATTCATTGTTATTGTTACCTATATGTATAAATACTATAATACAACCTGCTGAGTTCCTTTAGTGTTTCTTGTATCTATTTGATTTCAGAACTGACCACTTGATCTTGGATAACCAATTAGGAAGTTCGTCTCTAGAAGAGAATACTTCTCTCATTCTCAGCATTCCTTAGTTGCCTGTAGTTCTTTGTCTAAGAGTGAGGCCTCATGAGATTTCCACCTTCCATGTGCATGGTTATTGATAGTGTTCTTGTTGAGGTCTTTAGGCAGCCATATTGTTGAGGCTGTTACTGATGACGCTTCCCTGTCATTATTAAGAGAGACAGTCTCACAGCAGATTGCCTGATCCTCGGGCTCTTAACAACCTTTTGTTCCCTCTTCTACGATGTTCCCTGAGCCTTAGGTGCGGGAGTTGTGTTGTAGATGTGTCTATTGGGGCTGGCCGCCCTATGGTTAGTTATTTTCTGTATTTGACTAGTTGTCATTTTCTGTAATGGTCTCTATTAAAGGGTACGAATTTGTGAGATTTGACTATATTTGGCTTTGATCTGTTAGAAAATATAATTCAACAGTCTTTATTTTAATTAATTATTTTTATTTTTATATGCATTGGTGTTTTGCCTGTGTAAGGGTGTTGGATCCCCTGGAACTGTAGTTACAGACAGTTATGAGCCACCATATGGGTCCTGGGAATTGAACCCCAGGTTCTTTGAAGAGCAATCAGTGTTCTTAACTGTTGAGCCAGCTCTCCACACACACTCCTGCCCTTTTGTTTGTTTGTTTATATTCTCTTCTATCTTGTTGCTTCAACCATGATTATGCTTTCTTTATGTATGTACTGTTTTCTGAGACTTAGAATATTGTAACCTGAATCAAGTTTACAGAGTGGTAGGCCTGTCATGGTACATTTTAATCAGTAACATGACAGTAATTACCTGTTTAATACTATTTATTTCATATACTGAAGATAAAATTCATTTTAGAGCTGTCAGTTGTACCCTGAGTCACTAGAAATCATTAATGTGAAGTTTAATTTTATTATCTAGCAGTTAGAACTCATTAAACAAAGTTTGTTTGTTTAGGTAGATTTGGAACTCACTGGCTTAGGCTGGTCTCAAATTTATAGCAGTTCTTCAGCTTCTTGGTTGCTGGGATTCAAGTATGCATCATGATATCTGTTTTTTTTTTTTTTTTTACTTCACCTAAAATCTAACTGACAATGATTAAACATATTTGATATAATTAGATACTTATACATAATGACTATCATGTTCAAATTGCTCTATCAATCACCACCCTTGGTACACTAGATCTTCAATTTTTTCATTTCCCCTTCTCTACCAAATCTGGCAATGACTGTTCTACTGTCTGCTTTTATGAGCCTTTGAACCTGTTTTGTTATAAAGATATTTGTTATGTGAGCTAACCTCTTTTATTTACTGGAAAGGGAAATACTGAGTCAACTATGCCATTGAGTATATGACCATGCATTAGTTATTGTATTCTTCACTAACATAAATATAAAAATTTAAGATGGGGCTGGAGAAATGGCTCAGCAGTTAAAGACACTAGCTGCTCTTCCAGAGGACCCAGGTTCATTTCTTAGTCCCAAAGGACTGCTCACAATTTCCTGAAACTCCAGATTCAGAGGGTCGGTTGCTCTCTTCTGGCCTCCTCTTGCATCAGGCATGCATATTGTGTACAGTGCAGACAGAACACCCATAACACATAAAACATCAAAATAAAATGATCATAAATGATTACTGAAGAACACCCATAACACATAAAACATCAAAATAAAATGATCATAAATGATTACTGAAATCAGAATTGTTTCTGTTTTATGTTTGTTTTTAATTAAAGTTTGACATACATAAAGAAACTTTAAATGTGCTAGGCAATGGTGGTGCACACCTTTAATTCCAGCACTTGGAAGGCAGAGGCAGGCAGATCTCTTTGAGTTTGAGGCCAGCTTTAGTCTACAGAGTGAGTGTTCCAGGACAGCCAGGGCTACACAGAGAAACCCTGTCTCAACAAAACAAGCAAATATCAATCAGTAATAGATAAATAGATAAAAACATTTTTTAACGCTATGAAAGAAGATACATTATGCTTACAAATTAGAATCTTAAGAAAGAGGATTTAACTTAGCACCGCATATATGCTAGACAGGTGCTGTACCATTAGTGCTTGTTGAATGTTAGGTGTTGTAAGTTTCCAAGTTCAAGTTCCACATGCGTACCAGTACTTGATATACCTGGCCTACATTATCTAATGTATACTTAATTTATACCTCCTTCCAAGAAAGAACAACTCATGTATAACTCAAGCTTACCTGAAATTTCTGACTCAAGTGATCCTCTTGCTGTAACCTTTCTGGTATCCAAAACTACAAGGCTTGCCTCACTGCATCTAGCTTCATACTAACATATAAATTTATCTTAAAATGTATTATTTTTGTGAATATGGGTGTTTTGCCTGCATGTATGTCTCTATACTATATGCATTCTGTTGCTTGAGGAGACCAGAAGAGGGCATCAGATCCTCTGGGACTGTGACTACAGACTATCAGCTACCATGTGGGTGCTGAGAATTGAACCCAGGTCCTCTGGGAGAGTAGCCAGTGCTCTAAACTACTGAGCCATCACTCTATCCCCTAATTTACTTTTTACAAAGTACATCATTTAGACCTGGACATGCTGTCACATGTCTATAATCCCAGCACTAGGGAGGTGGAGGCAGGAGGACTGGGAGTTATAGGCTAACTTCAATTACATGGTAAGTTAGGAGTCAGCCTCAGCTATCTGAAACCCTGTCTGAAAATAGACAAAAACAAAAAAGTATGTAAAACTGTACTTTTGTTTATATACAGTAGAATATAATTTAAGCTCTAGTTAGCACTTTGGTATTAAATTGTGAAATCCCTGGTTCATATTTTTAGTTTGTTTAAATGTAGAAACCAGGGGTTTCAAGATTTTCTTTTTTAATTAATTTCTGTGGTATGTAGTTGTGTGTGTGTGTGTGTGTGTGTGTGTGTGTGTGTGTGTTGGTGTGTGTGTGTTGGCATGTTTGTTGGCATGTGTGTGAAATCAGAAGACAGTTTATGGGAATTGGTTCTCCTTCAGAAATCTGGGTCCCTTTATTAAACTTATATCACTCCTCATTGACAGTCTTGGAGGATTACTATAAAAACAAAATAATCCACTGGGCAAAAACTCTGGCCTATCTACTTTGGACATTATGGCCTCAAATTTAGAGATCCACCTGCCCCTGCCTCCTGAGTACTGGGATAAAGATGTGTGCCACCATACCTGACCTTAAAAATCTGCTTTTGTTTCAGTAACTCTGTGGTGATAATGTTTTTCCCTTTTGGGGACCTTTCATTTCTAGACTCCCTTGGTGACCCTCTCTGGCCACACAGAAGCAATTTCCTCAGTACTTTGGTCAGATGCCGAAGAAATCTGCAGTGCATCTTGGGATCACACAATTAGAGTGTGGGATGCTGAGTCTGGTGGTCTTAAGTCAACTTTGGTAAGACTAAATTTTGGTTTCCCTCTGATTAACAGTGCTCTTTTCAGTAATAAATTTCTAAAGGTGGTTACTTTTAGCCCTCTGTAATTAAATATGCTTTTCTTTTTCTTTTTTTTTTTTTTTTTTCAGACAGGAAACAAAGTGTTTAATTGTATTTCCTATTCTCCCCTCTGTAAACGTTTGGCATCTGGAAGCACAGATAGGCATATTAGACTGTGGGATCCCCGAACTAAAGGTGTGCTGTATCCAGTGGTGAATATTCAAAAAAAAATTTTAAAGATAAGTTTCTACAAATATTCTTTAGGTGGTATTTTCTGCTTCTCTTTCCTAAAATCCATTGCATTTTCTTTTTCTTCATTCAGATGGTTCTTTGGTGTCGCTGTCCCTCACCTCACATACAGGCTGGGTTACATCAGTGAAGTGGTCTCCTACCCATGAACAGCAGCTGATTTCAGGCTCTTTAGATAACATTGTCAAGCTGTGGGATACAAGAAGGTAAATGTTGGGACCGAAGGCATGGCTTAACATTTAAGAGCACTTGCTATACTTTCAGAAGACCCAAGTTTGGTTCATTCTATCTGATGTGACAGATACTAATACTCAAAAAAAAAATCCCAGGATTGGGCTGCAGGCATAGATCAGTAAGTAAAGTGTTTGCTTTGCATGAGTGAAGATCCCAGAACTCAAAGTGGATGGTGGTAGGTGTGCTGATAATCTTAGCACTGGGGAGACAAGACAGGGGAATACCTGGATACTGCTAGCTAGCCTAGCTTACTTAGTGAGTCTCAGGCTAGTGAGAGATCTTTCCTCAAAAGAAAACAGGTAGATAGCACCTGAGAAATAAACCCAGGTTTGTCCTCTTACCTACATACATGTGATCCTGTATGTACATGTAAACACATGCATTGCACAGATATACTTACAAAGCCCAGGAACAAAGGCATTTTATTCTTGTTAATATGTTTTTTTGCTTATTTTTGTAGCACAAACAATAAAAACCCAAAGAGAGATAGATATTGGGGTTCAAGCTGAAGATCAGAAAAGCAAAGCAGCCAGCCACTAGAGAGTTCTAACCTCTACCAAGGCAGGGGTGATCCTATCCTCAACATGACTACAGACTGAATACTGCAGTCTTGTCTTCACCCACCTTATGTTCCTCTCTAGTGCTGGGATTAAAGGTGTTTACCACCACCACCCAGCTTCTATGGCTACCTAGTGTGGCTGCTGGAATTAAAGGTGTGTACCACCACTGCCTGGCCTATGTGACTGACTACTGTGGCAGCTTTGCACTCTGATCTTCAGACAAGCTTTATTTGTTAGATCACAAATAAAATATTACCACATATTTTTACTCCTTTTTTAAAAATAAAGCCACAGCTTATAAAAATCCATCTTTCTGACCTTCTCATAAAGCAGGAGAAAAAGTTTTAATTACCCAGAACTTTAATAGAAATTCTGATAATGAAAGATACAATGAAAATATGTGTCTTTAAAGATAATTAGTTGCCAGAGCAATCTTACTCATAGGTTAATATTGTGATACAGAATGTCTACCTTAAAATATAACAATAACTTAGAAGAGGCAACTTTAACTGTGTACCCATTTGTGTATCTTTTTTACCTTAAATATGCCCTCAAACATTTTATGATATCTTAGAGGGCTTAGATGTCTTAATTAACATTTTATATGATAATTAACATAGTTTCTGGTAACAGCAAATAATTATTATGAACAAAGCATAAGATAGCACAGCTGCATTTTGTCAAGACTTTATCTCTGAAGAAATTTCAGTAGCAAGTCACGAATTTTGAAGGTATGTACATGTCAAGCAGGACTTGGCAAGGCTTTGAGGGTTTGGTCAAGAAACCAAGAGTAGAAGCTGAAAAACCATTGCTATTCAAGAGACAGGTTAGGGAGCATAGAATGTAGTGATAGCATCAGAAATAAGTGATTTTGTTCTAGGAATATCTTGAATTTAGGTCTTTGGCAAGATTAATTTCTTATGAGCTAAATGTGAAGATGGGAATCAAAGAAAATTATCCATATTTTCTACTTGAGTGATAGGGTATATGGTAATGCTACATACTGTGATAAGAAAAAGTGGAGAAAAATGGGGCTGGAGAAATGGCTCAGTGGTAAGAATAATGGCTGTTCTTGCAGGGGACCTGGGATGGCTCCCAGCACCCACATGGTGGCCACACCTGCATGAATATATGGTGCACAAACATATACACAGGCAAACACCCATACACAAAATAAAAATACATAATTGTTTTTATATTTTAGAAAAATAGGTTTACAAAGGAAGTTTGAGAGTTTTGATTTGATTGTGTTCATTGCCCACTAAATTTCATGTACTTAGATATAATGACACATCTAACTCAAGGGAAAAATTTGGGATAGAAATATAAAGTGTAGAAGTATGAAACGGGTCTTATTTTCAAGGTTTTTACATCTGAATGGTATTTTTCTTGAGTGTTTACATCTGCAGTAAAACCCAGCAAAATCTAGAGAAAAGTATTAGTAATTATTCTTATGTGTGTATTAAAACCCTGAATACACTTAACGCGTGCGCTTTCGCCTTCAGTGCTAAGGCTCCTCTCTATGATCTGGCTGCTCATGAAGATAAAGTTCTAACTGTGGACTGGACAGACACAGGGGTAAGGATGTACAAGTTACTTGGTGAAGAAAAAGGTAGGATAGACCTGATGTTCAAAGTTAACAGGATCTTTTGGTTTGGTTTGGTTTTTCCTCTCACTGTCTGGAACTCACTGTGTAGACCCTGCTGGTTTCAAATTCAGAGATCTACCTGTCTCTGCCTCCTTCCTGAGTGCTGGAATTAAAGGTATGTGCTACCACTGCCCAGCTTTGATTTTTTTATATAATTGTTTTTACATCGCATACCAAAAAAAAAAAAACCTAAACTAAAAACAGATTTGCTCTTTAGTTATTTTAACAGTAATAAAAGTTGAGGATTTTAAAACAGGTCTTTTTCCCCCTGAATATCATTTTGCTTCTTTTGGTAGTCCTAGGAACTGAACCCCAGGCTTCTCACCATGCTAGGCAAGTAGTCTACTACTTGGCTATATACCTAGCCCTGTTTTTTTTTTTTTTTTAGTTTTTCCTTTCCTTTTTTTAAACATAGAGTCTTATGGGGCCAGGCTGTCTTTGCGTTTATTGTATAGCTGAGGGTAACCTTGAACTGATTTCTCCTGTCTCCACTTCTCAAATGCTGGGGTTATAGGCATGAACCTGTCAAAGTTGCCAGGGCTAGCTTGGAATTTACTCTAGCATAGACAGACCTTAAACTTGTGATCTGCTGCCTCAGCCTTCTTAGTAGCTGGTCTTATAAAACTGTGTTGACCCAGGTACTCATGAATATCTTAATGAGACATTACAAATCTCATATGGTCCATAAATTCACTACTTCAGATTGATGGTATCACAGTATTTCTTGTTTGAAATACCTGTTTTAGAAGCTTTTTTGTGTTTTGTTTTTGTTAGAGTAGGTCTTGAGATATATATATATCCATCCATCTATCCATCCCTGGCTGTCCTCCATCTTACAGCAGCCACCTTCACCTCCACCTTCTGAGTGCTAGAATTACAGGTGTATTTTACACTATTAAACTTATATAATGTATTTTACATAGTAAATATGGATTATAAAATGTACTTAAAGAATTACAATCATTTTTATGTGCATTATATAAGCTCTTGTTGCCCAAGAATTCTTTCAGGATGTAGGTCCTAGAGCTACTTGGTATAACTTGCAGTGTATATTTTCCTGCAAATAATACACCCTTTTAAAAACTTGGTATATTTCTGAGTGTGGTAGTTCACGCCTATTATCCCAGATCTGAGGAGACTGAAGCAGGAAGATTGATGCAAATTTGAGACCAGTTTAGTATAAAACCTGTCTTCAAAAAGCAAATGAAATCTTTGTATTTTAAAAGGATAAAGCTATTTTAGCTTATTATATATCTTGGCAAATACTTCATTGGAAGTACATAGCATACTATGTCTCAACCAAAATGATTAATTGCTTTTAATATTTTATATACTATCTAGTGATGCAGATTGAGCATTCCTTATCTGAAATGCTTTAGACTAAAAGCATTTCAGACTTTGGAATATTTGCACACTTATGAAATTTCTTAGAATGGGACCCAAATCTAAATGTGAACTTCTTTTTTGTGTGTCTGCCAAGCTGTGGGCTGTTTAGCTTTTTATTAGGCCAATCAGGCGCCTTAAGGCAGGCAAAGCAACACATCTTTACATCATTAAAATTGGTCCAGAACCTTAGGTGTGCTCAGCGTGTGCTCCACCTGTGAGCTACACCTCCAACCCACATTGCAGATCTTTGGATTGGGGATGCTCAACCTAGTTGTAGAGACATTTGTTCTCTTACATACTATGTTTCAAGCTGCACAATTTTACACCAAATCATTTGTATGTATATGACATTGAAGTAGAAACAAAACTGTTTGGGAGGAAGCAAACCTCTATACCAATGGAAAATATGGTCAAAGTACAGGATATGCATACTGTGTGAACAATGTCTTGCCAGGCAGTGGTAGCATATGCATTTAATCCTAGCAATGGAGAGGCAGAGGCAGGTGTATCTCATGAGTTCAAGGACAGCTTGGTCTACAGAGTGAGTTCAAGGACAGCCTAGGGCTCCACAGAGAAACCCTGTCTTGAATAACCAAAACAAAATCAAAGTCATATTTAATCATGTCTAACTACTGTATATTTGTATTTACTTTTCTCTTTCTCTTTACACAGCTACTTCTGAGTGGAGGAGCAGACAACAAATTGTATTCCTACAGATATTCACCTACAACTTCCCATGTAGGGGCTTGAAAATGAATGATTGATCAAAGACTTTCTTGTTGGGTTGTTTTTTATTTAGTGTCTTATTGTTGTGTCATAAACAATGTGAATGAAATTGTAGAGGGCTGGGATGTAGCTCAGTTGGGAGAGGGCTTGCCTAAAATGTGCAAAGCCCTGAGTACTCTAACACTTTGAAAGAAAGTCAGTATGATTCTATATTCCTGTAACCCTAGGACCTGGGAGGTTAGCATCAAAGAGAATCAGATGTTCAAGGTCATCCCCTCTGTATAATGAACTCAAAGACAGCCAGGATTACATGGCCTGGCTCAAAAAGAAAGACGTTAGTGGCTAATTCTCCACTACCATTGTCAATGTAGAGACAGGGAGCAGCCCTTTAATATGTATATAACGGTTCATCTTTTATAATAGCTGCATTTTACTATCACTTGTCTTTCCTGTTTATAAAATATAGTAAATATGTGGCCTGAATTCTCTCTCTAACCTATGCAGATTCCAAAAACTTGATTGAATTTTAAGGCATACTTTAAAGAAATTAAAATTTTGCCTTTGAAGTGTTATAAAAGGATATATTACAAATACAGTAACTGTGTCTTTTTTCCCTTTAACTATTTGAAGAAAAACCAAGAAAAGACTAATATTGTGCCAGGTGGTGGTGGTGCATGCCTTTGTTTTGTTGTTGTTGTTTCAAGAGAGGGTTTCTCTGTGGTGTAACAGTCCTGACTGTCCTCAGCTCATTGAGATCCACCCGCCTCTGCCTCCCAATTGCTGAGATTGAAGGTGTGCGCCGCCGCCGCCGCCGCCGCGCCGCCGCCGCCCGCCGCCGCCGCTGCCGCCGCCACCACCACCACCACCACCACCACCACCCAGCTTGGCACATTAATTGTAGCACTCGGAGGCCAAGGCAGGTGGATTTCTGTGAGTTGGAGGATAGCCTGAGCTACACAGAGAAACCTTGTCTCAAAAAACCAAGGGGGAGAAAAAGGCTAATAATGCTATAGGAGCCAGGTATCAAAGCACATGCTTGTAACCCCAGCTCTTAAGTGGAAGCAAGATGCTTAGGTCTTCAAAGTTGTGAATTTGCTTCATTACTAGTTCAAGATCAGGATCAAGATAGACTACTACCAATACCACCCAGCAACTTCCTAAATTTAAAATTAGGTTCAGAGAACCCCTGTCTCAAAAAGAAAAAAGGAAAAAACATATAATACCTGTCAGCTGGCCATTAGGTGTCTTTGTTAGTTTATTCATAGGTAGAATAAACATGGGTTAGGGGCCTGTTGTTATATTAGGCAAAGAGCTAGGAGACAAGACTGCACAAATACATATGGATGGAACAGTGAAGCATCTAATGGAAAGAACAGACTGGAAGATAAATATGCATGTTCTGTGTGACTTCCTGGAGAGACAAACACATCTGTCACTATAGACAAGGCACTGACAGTGGGCCAAAGAGGACTCCACTAGCTTAGTGAAGCAATGTGCCAATCAGGCTTACTTTCTGGAAGTGTGGGGGACACAATGACAGCTGAGTCATCTAAAAGTCCACTCCAGCATGCCTGACAACTCCCAAGAGCTCATCCCTGGACCCTGCTGTACATCTGCAGTCGCTTCTCCGCTCAAACTGTTGCTTGCTTCTATAACTTTGGATCTGTCATGAGCCTCTTTCACAAACACGTTTGAATTCTGAAGAAACAGCTACACAAGGTGTTAAGCCAGATAGGCTGGTTAAGAGGGATCCCAAACAGTATTGAGACATTCTGTTCTGCAGGTTCTTGCCTTGCCCTCACCAAGAGTGGAGTGTGTATATACCTAAGGGAAACGTAATGCCATGCCAGAACAATTCAAACAGGAAAGAAGGAATTAAGACTTGATGGCAGCAGACTGCCATCTGGAGAGGTTGGCTCTGCTCTGTGCCCTCGGCAGGCTGCAAGTGCTGGCTGAACACTCTAGGAAAGCTCGGGGGTGCCAACCTTGCAATTAAGTCTACAGACATTGGGTCACTAATAAAATTAAGGCAGGTATCAGAGGCTAGGGTCAAAAGTCACTGGCTGCATCTCAGGTTCTTTCCATCTTTCCAGAGTCCAAAGCATGGACTCTGGAATCTGAGACAGGAAAGAGTTGCTTCCTGTCCATCCGCTCCTCCACTCAGGTCCCCGTCTCTGTCCTGACCCCTCTTAGCAGCTGCAGGTCAAGTCCTGGAGGCTGGAGCAAGGCAAAGCTCCCAAGGGTCTGTGCCCTTGAAGGTAGATTTCTTTCTCAGAACATCTAGGACCTGGCTGAGCCCTCCAGTCTAGTTCTCTTTCTCTGAAGAGCAATCTGCCAAAACTGAAGCCCTTCTATAGAGCCAGGTGGGCTGAATCTGTGTGCCTAGTGGAAAAGCCCTGTTTAGTAACCCAATACTTTAATTCCAGACCTCAGAAGGCAGAGGCAGGCAGATATCAGTTCCAGGACAGCCTGATCTATATAGTGAGTTCCAAGACAGCCAGAGCTCCATAATAAGACCTTGTCCTGAAGGAAAAAACAAAACAATTCTTTTTCTTTCTGACTCTAAAATGAGGTCAATTATGGAAGAGCTGTTAACCTGGGCAGGAGGGGAAGGGCACTGAGTCACCTAAGGCATTCTCAACCAGGTCTGTGGGTTGCCTGCTGAGGGTGGGGTGGGGGAAGGAGTACTCCAATGTTCTTCCAGGAGCTGCAGCGATCAGTATATCACGACCTTTCCAACTTCAATCACAGCGGCCTCCAAACAATAGTCAACACTGAGGGCTGCAGCTCGCTCCTGCCTTGGTTGTACTCTGAGGCCTTCCACATCCGTTTTCTCCCAGCTTGAGTCTTTCATTTCAGTCATCTGGCGCTTTGCTGACAGCTGGACTCATCAATAGATTGCAGTGGCTGCCCTGGGCTCCTGGCTATTTAGAAATCTCTGGAGGTGGGAGGCCCCACCTGCCCATCTCTATATGCCCTAGTAAAGATCCGGAGAAATTCAATTAATTAACCATGCCCACCGCCTGCTAATTCAAGATTAAAGTCGAGGATTTCGACTTTAACAGCAAGAGAAGCTATTGACACTTTTGGTGGGTGGGTGGCAAAAATTGTATAGAATTTCAAGTATTTGCCCATTATTTGAAATCCAAATAGCTGAATAAGAACCTGAAGTCATCTGAAAAGTTTTAGTCCAAATCAGCCCTTTATAGAAAAGGTGTCTCTTTTTTTCTGCTTTCAAACTTAAAAATTTTACAGCGACTGCTTTGTAATTAACATTTTATGTGAACTCTTACCTCACGTAGTTCTCCATGATTCCTCAGAGTAGTCATCCCAAGTGTAAGCTTTTTTTTTTAACCTTGCTAACCTATGTGTCACATATATACAACGAACCTCGTATACTGTAAACCTTAAGGAAGGTTGAACTTGGGCGTCGACTTGAAAAGCAAAGCACTGAGTTTATTATTCCCCACCAATAACATTTTTCCCTTTTGCCTCGTTTCCATTCTTTTCTGAGGATTTTAGGCTGAGAATTTGCTTTTTACTCGTGAAAACTGGTTTATCGTTCGCTCTCACACTACAGATCCGTGTAGGGCCTTTGAAGTCAGTTATTAACAGTTGTCCCCTCTTTAAACCTTTAAAAATGAGAGTTTAAAGCCCCGCGCGAACACTTTCCGCGCGCTGAGCACTAGCACCAGGTGGCGACTTGGGCTCAGAGCAGCGCGGGGAAGGCGGGGGCTGGGAGGCGAGGCCGAGCAGGTCTTTCACGCACCCACCTCGGCTGTCACCTCAGCACGGCTCCGGGGCTCTAGCGCGGGCGCCACTCGCCAGCTGAGACAGGTAAGGCCGGAGCCCGCGGGGCGCGGCTTTAAATCTCCCGCCGCGGAGTCCGGCACCTCAGCGCACCGGCGCGGTGAGCGGGCGAGCGGGGGAGCGGGCGGGCGGGAGCTCGCGGGCGGCGGCTGCGGCGGGTGCGCGGCGGAGCTCGGCACGGCGCGGCCCGGGCGGCGAGGAGCGGCTCCGGCGGCGGCGGCGGCGCGGTGAGCGTCCGGGGCTCTGGGCAGCCGCTCCCTCAGGGCGGCGGTGGCCAAACCTGGTTCCCATGACAACGGCGGGCGGGGGCGCGGGCCGCGCGCTCCTGCCGCCGGGGCTCGCCCGGTTCCGGCGCTCTCGGTGGGCCGGCCTCAGGCGGCGGCTCGGAAAGGCCTGGCCCCTCCGCGGCCGGTGCGTCTGCGGGGAGAAGCCGCGGCCTGAGGCCGGCCCGGGGTGCTTCCTCTAGGGCCAGATGCTCACGGCCTCAGGTGCTCTCCCGCTGGCCGCCTTTGTACATCGTGCTTAATTTATTTGATTACTGTTCGCTGACGGGATGCCTTCCTGACAGACTAATTGCTCGATTGACACGGTCGAAACAAAACCTGAGCAGAGCTGTGGTTGGGGCGAAGTGCGAACGCCTGGCCTCGCCTCGCCTGGGTGTCCGTGCACAAAGCCTCCTCTCCCGGGTGGGGACCCCCGCCTCGCCGCACCCATTCAGCTAGGGGAAAGCAGGCCAAGTGTCTCTGACCACTGACCTCACCTGGGCGACGATGCAGGAGGCCGAAACCTGATGCTCTAAGAAAGATGGAGAAGGGAAAACAATCCCGCTTGGCATCCTACCCGTGAGGCTGTGGACTTGTCAGCGGGGTGGGGATGGAGAGGGGGTGTTTCATGTAATATATGGTCTTCATGCACAAACATACAACCTGCTAGCTACTGTAGGTCACTGAAATTATTTGTGGGGAGATGCTGCTTCTCTGTGGTTTGGGTTCTAAGTATTTACGTACTGATTTGATTCTTGCTGAAGCGATGTTTTGTAAAGCGGTGGTACTTTAATCACTATTAGCAGCCACAGGTACTTCATTCTTCAGTGGAAATTAGTTATATATTACAATTACACATTTATTAGCCAAGCAAACATCTTCTAATGGTAGGTATGTACTTTTTTACAACCAAAGTTTTAAAATCATCTTCTATTTACTATCGGTGCATAACATTCGCTGGGTTTTCTTTGAACTCTTTGTACTTAGTTTAATAATTCAAAACGGTTGAACATGTAGCTATTGGAAGCAGTTATGGACAAAGCACTGTCTAATTATCAGTAGTTCTAATTGCTAGGGAAATCATTATAATCCTGGAATTAGAAGGGTGCTGAGATCCCAGTTCAAAAGGCAAAACTGTAAACATGAGACTGATAGGAAAAGCAGGAAGACGTTTTCATTGTAGATGTTTATCATAAAAATTAAATTTATTTCAGTGACTACGAGCAAATATCAAAATGTGAAACATAATATAGTATATTTTATATTAACAAACTGGTTTCTGTAATACATAGAGTAAAATCTTTTCTTTTTTTACTTTAACACTCATTATGCCTTCTTTAAATTTTTGTTATTTTTATATTCTTTAACAACAGTTGGGATATGTAAAGAACTTTAAAGTATTTCTAAAACTGGAAGTTTTACTTATGCGAAGGGGCTTTTGTCATTTGGCCTTTTTCATTTATCACTTAAATTTTGCCCTTTTTTTTTCAAGTTGGCTTTTTGCTTAATTTTTAAAAATCTTATTTATGGTGCTGTGGAGTGGAGGTAGGGCCTCCAAGCCTACCCAGCTATGTGCCCACTCCAAGTATGTTTTTATGGACCTTGGGGATATGGTATTTCAGGATTTCAGCTTTCTGGCTGATATTGTTTGGAACTGTAATTTGAGACTTTGGCCTCAAGTCAACATTGGCCAAGCATAACTTGGATATATTGTTGATTCAGTTCCAAGCAACCACAATAAAGTAAGCTATATAATTCTGTAGCCTCCCAGAGCATATAAAATTATTTTGTTGCTGGGCAGTGGTGACACACATCTTTAATCCCAGCACTTGGGAGGCAGAGGCAGCCTGGTCTACAGAGAGAGTTCCAGGATAGCCAGGACTGTTCTACAAAGAAACCCTGTCTCAAAAATCAAAACAACAAAAAAGAAACTTCTGATCCTCCTGCCTCCATCTCCTAAATGCTAGGTTTACAGGCACATACACTCCAATCTCATCTAAAAGTTGTATTAATTAAATGTGCAATAACTTAAGTATAAAAAGGTCACACAGATTTTTTTTTTTATTTTAAAGTACATTATTAAAAGCTGTTCTGTGCTACACCTGAGCCTTCATCTAGCTAGGCTGTTTTCCTGGGAGAAGTTTTGGTGAGTTAAGGTTGGAGTAGCTGGAAAAATTTTGTTTTATTTTGTTTTTGTTGTTGTTTTTAACATCAGTGATGGTTGCTATGGCAATTAACGTTTTCTTTTAAGAATGGTTTGTCCATAGCCTGAAATACTAATATTGTTTGGGTAGCATAGTACTTCTTCCAAAATGGAGCTGCGCCCTTCAAACCCTGACTCAGCTAAGTTTATGTAATAGTCTAAATCTTGTGTTGTCATTTCACACATTCACTATGTAGAGTGCATCTCAAGAAGACATTCATTCCTCATCCAACTTTTTGTCATGAGGCTGCAGTGATCCAGCTACATCCTCAGGCTCCATATCCAGTTCTAGCTTTCTTGCTATTTCCAACACATCAGCAGTTACTTCTCTATCAAAGTCTTGAGCCCTTCAAACATCTGAGAGTTCAGATCAACTTCTTTTTTTTTAAGTTTGATTTATTTATTATGTACCCAGTGTTTGCCTGCATGTATGCCTGTGGGCTAGAAGAGGGCACCACATCTCCTTTTATAGATGGTTGTGAGACATCAGGTGGGTGCTGGGAATTGAACTCAGGACCTCTGGAGGGGCAACCAGTGCTCTTAACTACTGAACCATCCCTCCAGCCCCCACATCAACTTCTTACAGACAACTTAATATTGATACTTTGATCTCTTCTCATAAATCATGAATTAAAATATCTATAAAGTGCTAACTTCTTTCAAAAGGTCAGTATGTAATTTCCTGGTCTGTCATGGGCATGGATGCTACAGATTTATAAAGTGCATTTATTTAATAATAAGTTTTAAAAGTTGAGATGACTCCTTGATCTATTGAGTGCAGAATTGGTGCTATATTTGCAGACATGAAAACATTTAATGTCATGGTAAAAATCTCCATCAGCGCTCTTGGGTGACTAGCTGTGTTGCCAATGACCAGTTTAAAAAAAAAAAGTTTTTTTTTTAATACAAATATGATATGGTTTGTCATTGTTGCTCAGACCCAAGCAATCCTCCTGCCTCAGCTCCTGGGACCACAGAAATACACTACTGTGCCCAGCTTAGCAGTAATAATTTGAAAGGATCCTTCCTTCCTGAGTAGTTGGTCTCCTCCAGAACCCTTCACATCTAGTTTGTGCTGCCTGTTTGCTCTTGGGTGAGTGTCCATCCATGGGAGTGCGGCAAAATGGAACTTTGTGCCCACCTCTCCTCTCCTGCTTGAGCTTGTGCAGGAGCTGTGCATGCTGTCACAACCTCTGTGAGGTCACTTGTGCTACTGTCCTGATGCTACTGTCCTGCTGTCCTGCTGTTTCCTTCTATTTACCCACCATATGAGCTCTGGAATCATCACAGGGGAGGACATAGACAGACAGGAAGATCCAGAAGATCCAGAAGTGGTAGATGATTACTCTTGGGGGAGGGTAGGGATTCAAGACAGGCTATTTTCATGGCCCTGGCTGTACTGGAACTTGCTCTTTAGACCAGGCTGGTCTCGAACTCAGAGATCTGCCTGTCTCTGCTTTGTGAATGCTGGGATTGAAGGGGTGTGCCAGCTAATGGAGGCAATTGAGGTTACCACTTTCTAGGTGACTCTAGGTTGTATCAAGTTGATAGCTGAAGCGAATCAGGACAGTGTTATAGAGATGGCCTGAATCTTTATACCTTGTACCTCATGAATCAGCTGGATGTGATATTATATGCCTGCATTCCCAGCACTCAGTAGACTGTGGCCAGAGAATTCTGAATTCCAGGCCAGCCTAATGGAGAAAGCAAGACCCTGTTTCAAAAATAAAACACTGAAAAGCTCCACACCTGAATAAAATCATCTCCTGGCTCAGACTCTCCCAACTACAAACCTTGCCCTGCAGCTTCTTCGCCCCTGTTCTGGGTTAGGATCCTTGTTGTGAATTAGGCTTTGGCTAAGAGGTACTTTAGCTGACATGATCTGTCCAAACTCTCTTTATGTAGTCCTGGCTTGCTTTCTTGTTATGAGTGCATTCTGGGGTGGCATTTTGAATTTACTCCAAGAGTGTTTGCTTTCCTTCACTGTCAGGCTGGCACCTGAACTTTGGCCTGTTGTAGTTTTCAACTTAGTTTTTCCACTTTAATTTCTAGTGTTTGATTTAAAGTGGGAGATATACCATTCTTCTTTTGCTTAAACAGTTAGGGGCCACTATAGGGATATCAACTTAATTTCAAAACTATTTTACTCCGGGGTTTGGCAGTTCAAACACACCCATTTACTAAGTTAGCTATGTATGGATGTGGTCATTGCACCCAAAAGTACTTATAATTGTAATACCAAAGATCACCGATCACAGATCACCACATGTGTGACTTTCTAGGAAGGCATCTATTCACTCTGCCTAGGACACTCATGACAGAAACAAGTGATTTGGCCCAAGTCTAACTCAGTGACCCAGAATTTAACTGATGTTGTTTACAGGTGCTACACCACCTGATAGGAGCTTCCCAACTCAGAATTCACTGCTTTTATACCTTGGGGAGGAGAAGGGCTCATGATTTTGTGTGTCATCTTGTCACCCCCTTGCGCTCTACTCTGTGTACTTCAGAGTCTTTGAACACCCCCATCTTCCTAAAGAGAATATTAGCAGAGTTACTCT